TCTGCGAGGGAGACGTGTTTGAAGCTTTACCAAAGTTTTGCCCGACATGCGGCGACCAGTGTCGCGAGCGACCGCGTCTGTTGAAATCAATCAAAACGCTCCGTTGCTACCCTGGTGATTGGGCTTGTGCTGCTTAAGCACCGTTGTTTGCCACTGTAACTGTCAGTTGCCGCCTTGCTTGCCATGCTGTGGTATTTATGACAAGTAGTTGTCATGACATCATGGTCAACAGTCTCAAGCTGACCACGCACAGACCCCGCGCATAGCTACAAGGTTGTTTTTCGAGCAAAGTTCCAATCCAATTGGGAGCGTCTTTGTCCAAAGGTTTTCGATCCATTCTAGAGCCCATTTTCGAGCTCCAAAAACGAAGCCCAAAATGGGGTCTCCCCTAATAGTTTCCAATCAGGCGGTCTCAGCTTTGGGAACCAATTTTTGGCCGCAAAATGGGGACCAACCCGAGCTCAAAAACTGCGGAATTCTGCGAGGGAGACGTGTTTGAAGCTTTACCAAAGTTTTGCCCGACATGCGGCGACCAGTGTCGCGAGCGACCGCGTCTGTTGAAATCAATCAAAACGCTCCGTTGCTACCCTGGTGATTGGGCTTGTGCTGCTTAAGCACCGTTGTTTGCCACTGTAACTGTATGTCTGGGTCGGTCGGCGCTGCATTGCCGTCGGCGATTTCACCTGCCCTTGCGAGGCCCACCATGTGGGAAGCTGGGCAGGGTTGCATGTGGATTGAGTGGTCCATGTCTGTGTATGCCACTGCGCGGCTGGATCGCGTGTAGTTCTTGCATGGGTTCATGGCAATGTGTGTGCTAGAGCCCCACCGGTCATGGGAAGCAATCTATGTGTGCCATGTGGTGACCTTGCCAATGCGTATGCTGCTATGCAGTTATGGGGGCCTTGCCGTTGAGGCCCACTCTGGTGGGAAGCTGGGCTTGTGAGTGAATTTTGATTGCGCACCAGCCATCTCGATGGCATACACCTCGCCTCCGTTGGTTGTGGAGGTACCGCCCCTGCAGACATGATGCTTTCTATGCCCTTGCGAGACCTTCTCTCGGGGAAGCTGGGCAGGATTGCGTGTGGTTCTTATATTGGTTCATTGGAATGTGTGTGCCATTGCGCGACCCACCGCTTATGGGAAGCAGGGCAATATGTGTGTGCGCCATTGCGCTACCCAGTACAACTGGAAACCGGGGCATCTGAGCGGCTGTAGCAGCTAGGCTCAGCTAGGTGCTTTACAGAAGGCTGAACGATATCTGCCGGCTAAGTTTGCAAGTCGCAGCCAGTTTCACCAGGGTTTGCATAGTCCTCTTCGTCTGTACAGTTTTTATGGTTCTTAACACTCTTGTAGTTCTTACTGGGACCGAGTGCTGCAACTGCTGTCTTTGAGGCCCGCCCACGCCAAAAAAAATAGAACCTGGGTTGGAACCTGGGTTGAAATCTGGGTTTTGAATCTGGGTTAAACTGGGCTTCAATCTGAATTAGCAGGTCTGTTTTTCAAATCCAAGTGTGGTTTAAACCTGGTTTTCAACCTGGATTTGAGTTTCTGAACGATTTCAGCGGATGTGTGTGTCTGAATTTTACTGTCTTCGATTCCTTTTTTTCGCGTTTAAGCCTCCTAAAAGCGATTTTGGGCATTATTTCTTCAAAATCCTCTTCGGCGATTTCATGTGGAATCTCCAATCGTTCAGAAGCTTCCGTTCTTTAAAAGTCCAGTTGGGGGATCTTCGAGAGACGATTCGCTTTGCACGGTTCGGATTTGAAGTTTAAGGCAGGTTTACGGTTCAGGCGGCTTCAAAGGCGTGGAGTTCCATGAGCTCGGATTGAGAGGGACGCAGCCCTTCCAATTCAGCTTGAGAGCATTTATTTTCTTCGCTGTTAACCCTCTTGGGCGATTTCGTGTGGAATGTCCTGCCTCCCCCCAATGAGTTTTTTAGAGCGAGCCCCGCTGAACGATTTTATGTGGCCTTTGTGTGTCTCTGAATTTTCATGTTTGTGCTTCTATTTTATTCGCTTTTAACGCTCTTAAGCGATTTCGTGTGGCATCTGCTTTTGTGTTGAAGAAAGCGCACTTTACAAAAAGCGGGAGGGTTGGGGGGGCGCAGCTCCCATTGAAAGAGCTGTTCACGTTCTTTTTGTGAATTTTCGCTTTGTACGGTTTGGGTTTGGAGTTGAAGGTTTACGGTTAGGCGGCTTCAGAGGCGCGGGGAGTTTGCAATTTGCAAAAAGCGGAGGGGTTGGGGGGGCGCAGCCCCCCCCATTGAGCTTTTAAGAGCGGGCCCCGCTGAACGATTTTATGCGGCCTTTGTGTGTCTCTGAATTTTCATGTTTCTGCTTCTGTTTTATTCGCTTTTAACCCCCTTAAGCGATTTCGTGTGGGCGTCTCTTTTCGTGTCGAAGAAGAAGGTCCTCCTTCAGGTCTCTTCCTCAGGCCTCCTTTAAGCTTTTCTTCAAACCAATCCTAGGCCTGCCTTGAAGCCCTCCTGGGTTTAACCTGGGTTTCAAACCTGGGTTCAAACCTGGGTTATAACCTGGGTTTAAACCTGGGTTTTTAAACCCGGGTTCCAAATCTGGGTTAGAACCTGGGTTTCAAACCTGGGTTGGGTTTTAACCTGGGTTAGACCTGGGTGCGGGTTTCAAACCTGGGTTCAAACCTGGGTTTGGAACCCGGGTTTAAACCTGGGTTTTTAAACCCGGGTTCCAAATCTGGGTTAGAACCTGGGTTTCAAACCTGGGTTTGGAACCTGGGTTTGAACTGGGTTTGGACCTGGGTTTTTTCCTGGGTTAAACCTGGGTTCATTAAACCCGGGTTCCAAACCTGGGTTAGAACCTGGGTTTCAAACCTGGGTTCAAACCTGGGTTATAACCTGGATTTAAACCTGGGTTTAACCCGGGGTTGAACCCAGGTTCGAACCCAGGTTACCCAGGTTAACAGGTTCAAACCCAAGTTAAACCCAGGTTTCAAACTTGGGTTCCCTGGGTTGTTGTGGTTGTTCCCCCCCCCCCCCCGGAGGGAGGGAACCCAGGTTCCAACCCAGGTTCAAACTTGGGTTAAACCCCGGGGGGGGGGACCAGCCTCAGGTGAAGAGATCAGAGGGCTGTCCTGCTGAATGATTGTGTGTGTGTCTCAGATTTTCAGTTTTTGCTTCTATCTTCTTTGAAGCTGTCCAAATTGCGTCGAAATTTCCTTTCGTGTCAAAACCTTCTAAAAGCCTTTCTTCAAACCAAAGGTCTGGATCAAACCCGGGTGCTTTAAACTTGGGTTCCAAGCCTGGATTAGAATTTTCAAACCAGGTTCAAACCAAGGTTGGACCGTTGGACCCTGGTTTTTTTACCTGGATTTGGAACCTGGTTTAACCTGGGTTTGAACCTGGTTTCAACCTGCGTTTCAAACCTGGAAAAAACCTGGGTCAAACCCGGGGGAAACCGTCTTGTGGGAGGGAGCCGAAACCGGCTAAACTGAGAGGGAACCAGCCTCCTGCTCAGATGTACAGACTGTACCAATAGGCGCAAGGCGCAATGGTTTCCTGCAGTTCACAAACTGTCCGGCTGTTTGAGGAAATTCATACGTTCAGATCCAAGCAGACCTTGGTGTGGGTGTGGGTGTGGATGGAGGGTGTGTGGGTGGTGGATGTGGAGGTCTGCTTTTTGCCTTCAAGCTTGACTTTTGTTTGTTTGTGTCGTTTGGTTTTTTTCGATACGCACTGCTTCTAGCAGCTCCAAGCTCCAAATCTTTTCTACACACTGCACGTGTCTGCCTCTGGAAAGTTGATTGAAGGAAACCCATTTGGTGCTTCTTTCGCGTGATGGAGACATGCTTTCACCTTCAGAACCGGTGCGATGTTTTCATGGTTGCCACTGTGCTTCGAATTATCTTAAGCTGACCATTGTTTCGTATCATGTCGTCTCTGCAGCGGGCGCAATTGTGAGCCTGTGCTGTTTTGCTTGCATGGAAGAGACGTTTTTGGAAGGTTTGTTTTTGGGGTTTAACATTCATGATTTGGGTGGGGTTTGGGGCTTTAAGTTGAATCTGGAATCGAGTATTTTGCCTGGAAAAAGGAAAAGAGTCCAATACGTTGACTTGAGGGTGTTCCTGCTTGTTTTGGGCTCGTGAGGGCCGTCGCAGACCAAGCTACTTCGACATCAGTGATAATCCAGAAGAGCCCGGAATGATCCGAAGGAGTAGCCGGTCGGGTGTCGTTGGTGTCCATGTGAGCTTGATCCCGTTCAGATGTACAACCGGTTTGTGCAGACAAATGTTCTGTCAGCCGTGATGCACATTCGACGGGATAGAATCCGAACACCGACAAGCAAATAAGGGACAAATTAACATGGAGGGACTGTTGTCAAATTTTCCTTTGTGCATTCGCGGCGAGTTGGGTTTGTTGCATCCACAAGCAAGACTTTCACCATTACCACACATGCCATTGCACGCATCGTATTGCTAGCAACTTGTCTTTCGGTTTTCATTTTCTCCACTGCAGTGTTTTCAGGCTTGCTTTTTATTTAGTTTTGCTGTCAGTTTTCTGACAAGGTCTTCTATTATTTATTTGTCTTTCGCTCGATTTGTTAGCAAATATCTCTTGACAGCAAGCAGAAAGCTGTCGTTTTTAGACTATATCGGCCAGGCTTCAATGTTGTTTTTAGCAACTTAATTTTGCATTAAGCAAATTTCCCACTTAAAACTAAGCTGCTATTTGCTAAGTTGGTTAATTGCACATCTAACCATGTTGCATAAAAGCACACAATCTCTAAGTGGAAGCCATGTGGAAGCGTGATTTCTTAGGTATGGAATGGTGTGGACCACGCAGTTGCCTTTTTCCTTCAAGCTCTGAAAATTCATCATGTGTTTGTTTTACATGCGTGCCTTGGCGACAAGCCGGACAAACAGTATCACAGGATGTGCCTGATCGATTAAGGCGGATTCAATATGTCGCATTGCGGCGAAATCCAAGCGCATAGCAAGCCAAGTGCGATCATGCAAGTGATGCGGCGGTGATGGATGACAGGACTGGTAGCAACTAATTCTACAAAAGTGTTGTTGTTGCACGCTTGGGTGTCTGGTGGTCTTGCGCAGGTTCAACAGAAGCCGCGCGGCAGAGTTGTGTTCCACTGTTCCGATTCCCCACAAATTTTCTGATGCTGAGGACAGCGTTGGGGTCACGGGAGAGCACGCAGTTGTTTCGTGCGTTTGATTTGAAAAGCTGTCAGACCGGTTGCAGGTAGCACAAAAGCATCGGGCTCGAGAGTTGCTTGATCGAGCTCTTCAAACGAGGAGAGATCGCAAGGACACAGAGGCCAATCACCAGTTTTTTGGCCGCGTTCAGCGCATGTAGGCTTTGTTTTTCCATGCCTGAACGGTGCGATTACATTTTGCTTTACTTCGCTGCAGCATATTGGACAAATATACGTTTGCGTAGCTCATTTGTCATAGTTTCGCAAAACTGACCATTGAACGGCTGTTCTTTTGGTCGCTCATCAAACGATCATGTCATATAACTTGACTCATGTCATTTCACGAGGAGTCAGCAATCTCCCCTCATGTTTTCCAAGGCGTCGTCAACGACAGCGTGCCGTTTTGGAGCAGCTCTGCAACAAATGTTTTTCGAAGGATCTGACAGGGTTCAGGTTCATGAATCTCGAAGCGCAGATGTTGGGCTTCGAGTCCAATGGGCAGTTGGGTCGGCTTTCGACTTTCATGCTTTTTACGTACAGGAGATCCAAGACGATCCTGGTCCAGGCCGCTTTGGGTCGGAACCTTCCGGAATGTGCCAGTGCTTTTGATCAGGTGAGAGGTTTTGGACACGTCACGCATTCTCGGCAAGAAGTCGGCATCGTATTGAGGACGCACCGAGGTTGAGCTTGTGTTGCGAGCAAATTCAGGGCACAAGACTGTCAGGATGGAGCGGACGTTGTACGTGGAGTCCGGTATGGGGGCAAGCATGAGGCCTTCCACTTCCGGAGTGAACAGTTGACGAACCGCCACGTTGGAAGCTTGCAAGTCCGTTTGAGTGCTCTCAGCTCTTGAGCGCTTCATTCTTTACTCATTGACTATCTACGGTCTCAGGTTCGGCCAACTCTGCTTCATCGAGAACTCACCGCTCGAGCTCCAGCACATATAGATGACTCAATCAGAGCTGTCCTGCGTACCGCGGCTGGAACATGTCCTAAATTCGTGTGGCGAGTGGCGCATGTGGCCTGTGCATGACAGGTGGCGGGAGCGAGCAGGACACGTCTTCCACACATGCTTCAAAACCGCATCTCTTGCGATTTATGCCTATGCACTACAATCGATGTCTTTAGCTGGCTTTGATGCTCAGCTTTTACAAGTGTCCTGGCAGGTTCATCGAGAGCAGTGGCTGTCAAGGAGTTGGCGCGATGGGCTCAGAAAATCTGTGAGAGCGGTTCACGGAGGCGAAAAGTCGATTGGTTGCCAAGCCGCAGGTCAACTTTGAGTGGAGCGAACCTTATGTCATGGCCTACAACAGTGCCTCTGCAGGTGCGACGGCTTGGCTGCTAAAGGCTGCTATGTTCAGCATGGAGCAGCATTGCCCAGCGGGATCTAAGGCATCGAGCGCCAGGACAAGTGGTGCATGCAAAATGATCTTTCCGGCAGTCTCCCGGTTCCAAAGGCCCGCGGCTGAAGGCATACTGCGGCTTTCACATGTTCGGCGGCTTTCCGAAGGTGAGAACCAAGCATGGCCACGACGAGACAGAACTGAAAATGATGAATTCTGCCGCCGTCATGGAGAGCTTGGCGGGAGGCGGTGTAGGCCCTTCGCCTGATTTTCGGATGCTAAGCTGTCGTTACTCCAGCAAAGTCCTTTGCCAATTCCAGTCCTCAGGCGTTGCCACCAAGATCTTGGGCTTAATGGAACGAGGTGCTCCTCCGGATCACATCAGCCAGTTTGCCGCGATGGCCAAGGTGCGCCCTGAGCTCGAGCAGCTTGTCGCGCCCGCTTGGCCTCGCAGGCCACCGCTTTCGAGATGCCCAAGGAGATGGCATTGGAGCTGGTCCAGTGCCTTGCAGATGCCGCCATCCAAGCAGAGCAAGCAGAGCAAGCGGAGGCTCAGGCCCTGGAGGCCTGCGCGGGCGTCCCACCCGAGCGGGCGCTCGAGTGTGGGAGGTGCGGGGAGGAAATGCCCAGACCCAGACTGCAGGCTGTCGAAAGCCTCCGCACTTGCGCGATGTCCTTGTTGGCTTCTGCCGCGGTCAGAGCTCGAGATGCAGACAGTCGGACTCCAAGCCATGTGGCCAGAGATGGAGATCCATGGAGCATGGAGCCAAGTGTCGCCGGGCGGAGGCTTGGACTTCCCTCTTTGCGGCCTCGAGACGATCGCCAAGACTGGTCTCGGCTGGAGCGCCTTCTCCAACATGCACCTCGACCACCTCAGCTAAGATTTGATCTGCCTCTGTGCCAGCCCTGTGGCAGGTTCTTGGTCGCCGTCTTCGTGCAGCTGCAGCGATGCCACCAGGCACATGCCATAAGCCTCTCTGTTCACTGCGCCAACTAGCCCTGAAGGAGACTCAGCTCCAAATGTCGCTTGAAGCAGCAGGACGAATCAGCAACGCGAGGATCTCAGCCCAACCATTCCTCAACACCTTCCGCGGCATGCAGAATCGGCACGAGTCACGAGGTTTTCGTTTGGGCAGCGCAGAGTCATGGAGACCTCGTCGGCAAACTTGCGCCGGCCGGTGCCTTGCTTGCACGTAACTTGTCTCTTGTCCTACTGTGTCTTGATATCTTGCACCCAATCGAAGGCAGACGTGTTGCAGGGGCTGCACATCGGACTCTGAGTGAGGTAAGTGGACATAGGATTGATGATAGCGTGCTGGCCAAGCTAGCGCTGCTTGAAGCTCTTGTCGTTAGAGCATGAAGACGAGCTGAGCAACGTGACCGATTTCAAAGCGGAACATGCTTTAGACTTTAGCCCCATGCAAGCACGGCATTCATGCTATGTGCTCGTGTTGGACTAGTCCTTCTTGGCTGTCGTCCAAACAGGGGCAGCCGTGAGGCTTGTGTCATGGAAGCTGGCTTGCTCTAGGCAGTCAGGCTTTCAGCATGTTGAACCGCGGCAGAGAGATTTGCAAGCCGTGCTGCTCCAGCTTACACCTCCTGACTAAGTTGATTCATGACATCAGAAGCTATCGCCCTTTCCTGGATGTACCACCCGCTTCGGCTCAAGTGTGTTAGACGGATCCCCACGGTCCCCACACCCTCATACCAAACCCCTAAGCAGATGAAGCCCGCACCCTTTGGCCCTCAGGCCTGAACCCAGCTAGCCCCAGGCTCTGGCACAAGAAAACCTCCTTAAAACCCTTTCTCTGAAAGAATGGGATGAATAAGAATGGGCAGGAGAGCTTCGCGTCATGCTTGTGTCTTGTGTCAGTCTGTCTGACTGTTGAACTGTGTCACATATTGTGCCGGTGCAGGCCGCTGCCGTTGTCGCAGTCGCTCGAGCGGGAGCGGAGCAACCATGGCAATTCGTCTTGGCACCCGGCGAGGTCTGAGGTGAAGAGAGGGCGAAGTGCGAAGGCCACGGATGCATCGGTGATGTCCTGCGAGGCGGTGGTGCTCGGGCGTGCCGCTGACTGCGATGTGGTGTGGAGCCTATTTCACACCGCAAGGTCACAGAGCCGCACTTGAATGGCTTGTTGGTTGGCGAGGTTCTCCAATCCAGGGGAGTGTCAGGGCGACATGCGGTCCTGCGGCACAGGCGGAGCGTCAGTTCTCTCATCTTCTCTCGCTGTTTAGTCGTGAAGATCCATCAGCCAGCAATTCTCAGGCAAGTCAACGACACGTAGAGCTCTTGGATACACCTCGCTCCAGATCTGTTCTGCGGTTGCTTGCGACCGCTGAGGTCAGAGATGTGTCTCGAGGATACCTCGACGTCCTCTGCTTACTTGAGTCAGTGAGTTCTATGACCTGTGAGTTCTTGCACTTGGCACGGATGGGGCCGCAGAGTTCTCGCCGGCGCAGGAACGGCACTGGTTTGGCCTCGGGCAGTGCCTGATACTCAAAAATGATTGCTTCTCTGACTTCGCCCTTCGCGTCTGTGGAACTGTGTGTCCGAAGCCAGATTGCAATATGCAGGAGTGGCAGCCTGTGCGAAAAGGAGATAGCCGGATCCTTAGAACTGTCTTGGGGCCTACCCGTGTCAGACGAGGTGAGTGACGAGGGTTGCGCTTTGGTGGTGGAATTTGTTGCGGCTGGTGGGGATGGTAGTGCCAGTTGGTGGCGAGCATGCATCGCCGCATCGCCGCATCGCTGCTCAGGCAAGGCCTTGGGCCAATATTCGCAGATTTTGCTTCCCTTCAACTGCAAGGCCAGGCCTTCGGGTTCGTGCGTGTGAGCGTGCGGCATCAAGCCGGTTAGCTGAGGACATTAACGGGTTCGGGGATATGTTAGCAGAAGAAAGACCGGATGTCACCAAAATGAAGGGACTCCTTCCTACATTCCAGCCTTTGTTGTCCTGTTCGTGTCGTCCTTGCAGTTCCGCAGGTCAGATTGCAAACAGTGTCAGACGAGTTGCTGTTGAATTGAAATATATTGAATCTCACTATCGATCGCTCGAAACAGCCGCCCGTGACAGGTCCATGACCAAGCAGTGGTTCTCACGGTTTCAAACTTCGGTCCGGGGCTTCCGGATGCGTCGGCCACTGAGATGTAAGAGCAGTACTGCAGTACTGCATGCGACGACCTGACCTGCACGTGTTCTCGCATGCCATGTTGGCAGGTATGATTCCAGGCACAAGACCGGGCGGTGGCTTCGGCACTCAGATGTTTCTCGCTGGTTGCTGGTCGATGTCCCTTTCAGGAAAGGCTACATGGATTTTCTGATTACCAGGAGATATCGGGGCAAACTCGGAGAAGGTGCGTTGGGCGTCGTATCTGCCTTAATCTTCTCAGAGTTCACAAATCACACGAAATATCTGTTCGGTGTTTCGGCCTTGTGGCCGTGTTACTGCACCAGCGGCATTGTTGGGGATCCACTCCCGACTGGTGACTGGAGCCTGGCCTTATCTTGCCCCCGGGCCTGGTAAGGTTCACCAGGCCATCGACATCACGGGGAAGCTGAAGGGGGATGTGGCCATCAAGGCAGCAGCAAGGAGTTGTCGTGCTCTTGTTCGTGGGCTCCATGACAGGTCTGCAAGGTCACCAAAGGTGCCAAGCCGACGGCAAAGGCGCGACCGCAGAGGAGGCTGCAGGATGTCAGTGCATGTGAGTCTTATGCCGTGCAGCTGCGAAGCGCCTTCATCCTTCATCGGGAAGCTCAGTGGTCGTTGCAAAGGCTGGGGTAACATGGAGATGTACTGAGACTGAGACTGTCGAGCTCCCAGGCTCCACAACTCAAGCTACAAGGGGTTCTCAGAGAAGAAGGCTGGTCAGAAGTGACATGTGACACATGAGATACCACTGTCGGAGAGCTTGGGGTTAGCCGCTAGCCGCTAGCCGCTAGCCTGCAGGCAGCTCTCTTCGCTCGATACCTCGAGGCTCTTGGCCCAGCAGAAAGGGCTAAACAGCCTTGACGCGAATGCCTTGCGTTCTGCCCAGGACCATACCGGCCGATGGAGCCGGGACATGGACTTCGACGCGGCGAGAGCCTCGAGAGCCATCATGTGCGCACCATCGAGGGGCCCGGACTTTCCCGAGGAGCGGGCGACGTTCGAATCTCCGGATTTTCGGTGGGACAAGTTCAGGCGAGAACCGACTCGTCTCCTCACGTCACGCCATGGCCACTTCGAGCTTCGGACTTTCCATGGGAGGACCTGCACACAGCCCTGCTTTTCAGTGCTACGCGAGGCCTCCAGAGACACTCCCGCCACATCCTTATGTGGCGATGGAGTTTGTCCCTGGCAGAACACTTCATGCAGCCTTTGCCTCAGCAGGATTTGAGCTTTGTGGAGGTTTGGGTTCATGATCGTCCTTGCTTGGGCTTCTATATAACCTCTGGGTCAGGGCATTGTTCATCTCTCCCACTTGCTGGTTTTTGGTCCGAAGGGTCTCTGGATCACAGCTTGGGCTTCACTATGACTATGAACATGTTGCACTGTAGCCGTTGCTTCATGGACGGTTGGACAAGCAGCATCCAGCCTCGGGAAACACCACAGAAGCATCGAACATACTTAATACGGCAAAGGCTTTTCTAGAGTAATTTGAGGGGGCAAGCTCGTGGACGAGTGGCAGGACATGCCAGTGGCAACTCCTGGCAGCTCAGGTTGAATTGCCGCAGTCCTAAGTAGCTTTTTTGATTTTACAAAGTACCTTGTCCGGATGCTGGAGAGCTCCATTTCCCCACTCAAAAATTCGTCCGCGGAGCTTAAAGGCTCATTCGCCAACAATATTTTGCATGTGAATCGAAACGACAGGACAGCGCCGAAATCATCGATTTGTTGGCAGCTGGTTGAGCGCTCCCAACTCTTGCAGCGGAAATACGAAACTGTGCTAACCAGAACTAAGCACATATTTGATCGCCAAATATCGCCAATGATCATAGTATACAGTGCACATACCTGAAAATATGTCAATATGCGCCACATGGCGGAATCCGATTTGAAAGCTCACACATGCTACACGCACTCTGTTCCGTCAAGTGCAAACTCTTTGTTATGTGCCTTGATGTAGGAGCCTTAAAGGGAATGAAAGACCTCGACATCAAAATCAACCGATGCCGATTTTGGTGCTTTCTGTTGATGCGCCTTTTTGAATGGCCGTGGAGTTTGACTTGGCTCTGGGTTCATGTCGTTCTTCGGAAACATGCGAGACATGTCGAAACATGGCCAACTATTCCACAGAGCCATACAGAGCCATAGTGACCTAGGCAGGTTCGCATCTCTTGCGTGCATCATGTTTGCACACGAACAGAGTCCCGCTGTTGGCTGATGTTGGCTGGTTGCTGCACCCAAGTTTTGCTTCACATCGCCTGGCAAATCAGTAGAGCAACGCTTGTTTTTCTTCTAAGGCTCTGGGCTGGAGTCGAGATCAGCCCCTTCGCAGGGAAGCACTCCTCAGTCAAGAGGACCACCCTGTAAGTGGTGTTTGCAGTAAGTTGGTTGTGTCAGGCGTGCTATCCCAGCTCGCTCGTAGGAGAAGCAGATTGTGGTTCGACAAGCTGCAGAGGTTTGGCCCTTCGGTAGCCTGTGTGAATGCTGGAGCAGCGACTGCTCAACAGGCATTGGTTTATTTGGTAGAAATGGGACTGATACACCGCGACTTCCGCTACTGTGCTGGATTTCATATCTTGACTGTTTTGGATAAGTCTGATTCCCACACCGCAATCTGAGGGACCACGAATCTTATGGTCTCAGAGAGGAAAGCTGGCAGCAGCAATCTTACAAGGAGCATTGATTGCTGTTCAGTGCGCAGCGCATCGCAGCTTTTCCGGACTGAGTTCGCATCCACGTGATTGACCTGGGCCACACGATTTTGGCGGAGTGACTGTCTCAGCACAGCCACGGCTTGGTCGGCTTCGACACTAGATGTCTGAGGTCGAGTCAAAGTCGCAACAAGAGTGCAGTTGTCAGGCACAGCTGGATTGAACTTGTCTTGCACTTTGCCTTTGAGGATCTGAATCTTTTTATCGGATGGCTGCACATGCAGAGGCTTTTCCCATTCAGGCTGAGGCAAACGACCAATCGACAGCAGCTGCAAAGTGGGGTTTTCCGACTAATGACATTTACTTACTAATTATCGCGCCCTCCTTTTTGGCGCGGTGTCCAAATCCACCGAGTGTACAATGAGTGAAACCGCCGAAAGAAACCGCTGAAAATGGAATAAATGGACGACTGATTCTGTTCTCTTTGGTGACCGATGCTGAAAGCGCAACCTGCAACTTCATGTCGAAGTCGTTGTGTCGTTGAAGTAACTTATGCACACATTTATATATACACATACATACATACGTACATACATACATACCGACAGTCACATATGCCATATCGTCTATTTACCTATCTACATATCTGTCTGTCTATCTAGCTATGTATCTGTGTGTCTATCTATCTGTCGATCTACGTACGCATACATTTATGTATGCATGCATGTATGTGGCGCCCGATAAGGCTCCTGTTTGGTACATGCATAAGTCTTCGCATAAGTTTGGCATAGACATCAAAGTGCACATGTGCGTGCATATGCGTGCACTGTTATGAAGGTGACAGCTGCTGAGCAGCTGCGGCCATTCGGGATATGGAATATGGATCCTGGGAACCCGGTGCAGAAAACACCCAGTTAACGAGAATTCCCGTGAGAGTGCTGTGCACGTTGCGGGGGCAATGGTGCTCCTGCCGGCCTGGCGCACATTGTGGATTTATCGGGTGCAAAGTAAGGCCTGGACTGATTCACGTTCTCAGCTGCTTGCTGTATGCTGGCATAGTCGTGAAGGCCTCTTTTTGCACCCAGGATCTGTACACTGGAAGCCCACCGGTGCGAATCATAACATAGGGAGGCCCGCTACCTGATCCCTTGTCTTTAGCATACATGAGGTGACTAGTCGGTGAAGCAAGACGTGCATGGAGTTTTGTTGGAGCGTTCAAGTGGTGTTCGTGTTGCTTTCCCAACTGCAGGTACGTCGGTACGTTTCATGTCCCGTGCAGTTTTCGCACACTTTGCTGCCGCCTGCGGCGCCTTTGTGTGTGTGTGTGTGTGTGCAAGGAGAAGTAGTTTACGAGCAAGGCAGTGCGGAAACACGTTGGGGAAGGGTTCTGCGAAAGCAAAAAGCCATGCGAAAAACTGTTCTTGTAAGCAAACAGACCATTGCCGTGCAGCTCCGGGCGGTCGGTGAAGGTGCAATTGGAAAGAGGAAGAGAAGAAGCGATTCGATTGGGCTCCACCGGAAGTCAAGGCAGGCAGTGCCCGAGCTTAGGTTTACGCAATGTGCTGCTTGACACCTTGCAAGGCTAAGGAAAACTTCGTGAACTTTGCATATCCGGCACACTCGTTTGATGTGGTGTGCTCAGTCTTGCGACAGCCTACCAGCAACGAAGTGTGCGAATTGTGCTCGTCAGCAGCAAGAGCATGTGTGGCCTCCAGACCGTTACCCGAGGTGTATTCATTTGGAGTGCTGGCTGTTCAGTTGCAGACTTCTGGCATGCAGGTGCAGCTGGAGCTGAGAGAGCCGGTAGAGTTTTCTGGGCGCTTGGTAACGTGCAGGCGGCGCGGCTTGCTGTCAGTCGGCTGATGGGTTTGGAGGCCCCCCAGACGCAGCAAAGTAGGGGTGGGGCGTTAGACCGCTAGGCATCGTCAGGCGTGGAAAGCAGCACTGAGATGCTTCGTTGGTTCACTTCCAGGCGGGCGACCGCCTCTCGGGAGCGCTCGGCCTCGACGAGGACGCGCTCCGCTTCGGACTCTTTGCCGCTCCGCGACCTTGCGGGATCTTACGGGCCTCGGGACGGGACGCGAGGAGCTGCTCTCGCGGATGCTCGGCGACGCGTCGAAGCGCCCGAGCGGAGCTCTCGGTACCCCGGGTTATCCCCTAAACCCACACGCTACCCACTGCCAGATGCCGAGCAGATCGTGGAGCACTTGCGCGGCAAAGAGCCAGAGACTGTGAAGTCCATCTCCAAGTTGCCGTTGCCACGCTTCCTTGTTTTGGTCATGCCAGCTTTAGAGTCTGTAGAGCGCGGTTTTACGCCCTGGAGACTCAGGCCGAAGGTCCCCGAACAGGTCAACGGTGGGTGCCCCGGTCTCGTGGCTGGTGCCACTTCACGGGAAGTGGATCCTGGTTTTCTCCTGATTACGATCGTTTCCACGGAGCAGAGATAATCTCGCTCGCATTAAGAGCAGTAGCATCAGCATCTCAAGGGCACGGCTTGTGCCGTGGCACGTGGATGTGCACCGCGGTCTGATCCGGTAAAGCCCAACGAAGAGTGGAGGATGTTCGTGACGGGATAGGTAAGTACCAGAAGCCTATAGAAGTCTGTTCCGGCCAGACATCCGGCCGAGTTTGAGTTCCCGGGTTCCAGCACATGCGATGAGCATTGGCGATTCAAGCACAAAGCCTCCAGCAACCTCCAGCGCTCGCGATTCGAGCAGCGGCACCAGTGTGCCACTAAGCCACCAAAGCATTCAGCAGAATCATCTCCCCCCTCTGTCTTAGTCTACTTTAGTTTTTTCGCACTGTCCATCTCCTTCAAGGTCTCATTCCTCGAGAGCATTCATCTACTTCTCCTCCATACTGTGTTACGGTTAAGGTATGTTCAGGTTTTTCGCCGTCACCGCGTCGTCATGCTTTTCACACCTTGCCCCTTGTTGGGTTCCAGCATAAGCAAGTTTCTGTGTCCTTCCAGGCTCTACGGGGCCTGTCGAATGTCTTCGACCGCTGCGCCAGGTTTCTTTGCAGGTGTCCCTGCCGGTCCTCGTTGTGCCTTCAGTGTGCAAATCCCCGTGATTCCCCGTAAACCTACGAATGGTCCGTGCGCGAATCCGTGGCCCTTGTGTGCGAATCCGGCCTTCCAACCTGCGACTCGGCTCTCTAGCGCTAGTACCATACTTGCTCGAGCTTTGGCGCAGGCTTCTTCATGAATGTCGTGTGGACGTCATGCCAAAGTGGTAGGCTTGCTTGTATGCAGTAGGGTCGGATTGTCCTAGGGTCTTGCTGGCTGGTGGCCCTATGGGTTCCGCGTAAACCATCATCTTCTTGGATCAGGATAACTTTCAGCAGCCGAGAAGCACGCGTGGCCCGGGCGCAGCAGCAAGTTCATCGTCTTTTGGAGTTGTCATCTCCATATTGATGCAGATTAATGCTGAGCTGATGGCCCGCTGGCTCCGCAAGTATTTACTGCATTTGGCTTACGGCGTCGTTTGTACAGCGTTCTCGTCAACATCAAGCGAATGCGTATAACGCGCCATTTCGGCACTTGGGTTCTGCAGCGTTTCGTGGGAGCCGGTAAGCCTTGTTTCAAGATTCCAGCTGAAATTTGAAAGTTCTGTGCTTCCGAAGTCATAAGTTCTCCGCACCCACGGCACAAGAAGAAAATCAATGTGAGGGCAATGACCAGAATCAAGAATGCAACTGTAGCAGCTGCAGAAGATATGCGCATGCTAAGGCTCTCGGCACGACATCCATGTCCCGTGCTCAGATGGTTTCTTGCAATGGCTTTAAAACCCAGGTTTCGCAGATTCGAGTTTTCAAAACCTGTGATTTTGCGTATCGGCTGCTTCGATCGTCAAGACTGCGATGCAGCTCGCAATAGTGCAGGCAAGAACATGCAAGACAAGCACGCCAGCTTGCAGAGCCAATGCAGGCGAGAGAATTCAGGTAGTCACAGAACAAAATGCCAAAGTGGTTGGGACGCATTATGCATGTCTCTTTTCGCTTCCATTAGGTTCACTTGAAACCCTCGGATTGGTCAGACTGAATGCCAATCTCATCGCGATTGACGAGTAAATCTCGTCAACGCCAGTAGTGTGCAAGGCTTGGTCTTTCTTCCCAAAACATCATCAACATCCGTCATCTGGATGAATGGTTTTCCAATGAGATCGTATCCAATACCTCGGTAACATGAACCAGCGATCAGGTGTCCTGTCCGACAAAGAACATAGATTCTCAAATAATCCGCAAATTATGTTTGTGTTTCAAGTGCGTCGATGAGAAACTGGGGGGAGGTCTGTAACCGCAACCGGGGGGCTTGCAACAGGAACTGCCTCTCTAACTCGTGCCTTGCACTCGCTCGCTGGTAACGCACTTGAGGGTTTAGGTTTTGAACATAGTTCTGCAGCAAAAACCAGGTGTTTATTAGGATTTCCAGTGAAATCGTAATGCAACCCAATTATTTTTTGAAGGTCAAGGGTCTATGGTTCAGGGTTGGTTGGGGTTTAGGGTTTAGGGTACAGGGTTTGGGGTTCGGGGTGCTTTTACGATAAAGTTTTAAGTTATAATCGATGACTTGTGAAATGGGGTTGGACTTCTGGGTTCAGGGTTGAAGGTATAGGGCTGTTAGGGTTGAGGGAGAGGAGACGAAAGGGAGAGGGGAAGAAGAGAGGAAAAGGAAGGGGACAGGAAGAGGAGAGGTAAAGTAGTTGTTTTAGGGTTTAGGGTTTACGGGTCAGAGGTTTGGGATGGTTGGGGTTTAGAGTTGAAGTTTGTTTACGTAAGGGTCTAAGGTTTGGGGTTCTAAAGCGTTTATGAAGATTCAGGGTTTCCTTTAAAGTCTCAGCCCAAAGCCCGCTTTCGGTTTCGTTGTCCGGCTGCTTTCTGTCATGCTCCCACCGGTTACAGTTACTGGCCCCAGTCGAGTTCCAGTTAGATGTCCCATGGCTGTCACGTCCTGATTGGTCCCTGAAACGTGGTTTTTGTTGCGTCGCGCGGTGCAGAGAGTTTAGTTTCAGAATGAAAGCCGCTTTGCTATGCCAATTTCAGTGTCACGCATTCATCAGTAATAGAAGCATTGAATTGCTCTTTCTCCGGTCAGCCACTTCTCATTTCCATCCTCGTCTGAGCTCTTACAGATGTCCGTCGGCTCCGGGGCCAGGCTGTCACCCTTCCGGGCCGAATCACTCTCGCAGGCACTGCAGGCACTGCAATGCGACCATGCATTTTCCTCATGTTTTCTCAAAATCCCCACGCCGTTGATTGCATACGGCTCTGTTGCAGTTCCTTCCATAGTGCATGTCCACAAAGGGTCTTGGTCTTGGTTTTAGTTCTCGTCATGCTGCTTACAAGATGTACAAGTGACAGTGGGCTGACACGGTGGCACTTCGCAGTCAATGTCTTTGCGAAGCAAGGTGGATACATCCTGCATGTTTATTGAACTGCCAACTTCAATCCTCCAACTGGTCCACGTCACCATTGTGTTGTGGTGGTGGTGTGTGCAGGTTGATCCCACGGCCAATCGACTTCAATGTCTAAATCCCATCCGCTTTGATGTAGACTCAATCCAAGGCTTTGATGCTTCTTTGCAAAGGCGATTTAGAGAGCCAGACTTACGATCGAACAGCATTGCTGACATGGAACAAGTTCTGCAAAACCGGGGGGCAACCCTTGCTTCGTGCCAGAGTCAGAGCTATCCAGCTGTTGAGCGCGAACGCCCTGATGAGTAACTGCTCTGGTTTTGGGGAGCAAAGTCAGCTGGGTCAGGTAACTGGTAACCTTTTGCATCCATGTTGATCCTGCAGAGTACTGAACACTGCTGTGCTTGCGGTCATGCTACAAGCGCCACGTTAAACCCAGACGAGACGGACTTCGGCTCCTAAGCATGCATGACTTCCTTCTGGTTGTGCAACTGGAGCGTGTAACATGTGAAGCTGGATGTGCTTGGCGATAGCATATGTTCAGGGAGTTCAACATGTGCTTGCAGTAGCCTGAGCAGAGGTCTCAGCTGCTACGTTGGTTCAAGACAAGAAGCAGGCCTTGCAGATGTGCACATCAGTAATTCGAGAAGCAAGTCAACCCGTGCGCAGAGGATGGGGCAGCCAACGGCAAACTGGATACCAAAGTCGCAAGCGACAACGGCATCGATGTCCACGAGGATCATCCGCCTAAGGAAGAAGGTGCGGAGAAGGCTGGCAGTGTATGTAGTCTCCGGACCACTAGTCTCCGAAGCTGGATTTCAGGAATAGTCCCTCCTGGTCCTTTTCACGAAGCAGATGTCTTGAACACGTCGCCAGAATCGTCCGCTTTGAGGCAAGAAGGCAGCAAGGAGGTGTTGTGGATGACGCGGAAATTGAGGCTTCATGTTCATCGCTTTGCGGCTTGCAAGCTATGACTCGTGCATGACTCACACTGTCGTTGCCTGCTTTCGTGCCAGGAGGTTGTCGAAGGTGAGATGGCTGATGACAACGACTCCAATTCATCTGCCGAAGGCAGGAAGGATACGAAGGATACGAAGGAGACGAAGGAGACGCAGAGAGCCCCCGAAGCTTTGCAAGTTCCTCACGCGGTGCTCCCCGTCAACCCGGACCAGAAGCCGAACACTGCCGAGCGGGAGCCAAGCCTCAAGCGACAGGCGGAGGGCGTTCCTCACGCCGAAGAGCCTGCCAAAAAGCGCCGGGAGAAGAAGAGCAAGGAGTCTCCAGCAGTACAGGGCGAAGCAGACAAAGCATCAGTCAAGGAGCATTTAGAGACGCAGGCATCTCGGCAAGGCCAAAGCAGAGAGGCTGACACCCAATCCATTGCCGCAGCTGGGCCTGTAGAGTCTGCCGGCGGGGGAGCGAAGCGGCAGCGCGATTCAAAGCCGCAGCCCGAGCAGCTAGCAGAAGAGCCCGCAGACGCAAAGCGGAGAAGGCAGACGGACCAGCAGAAGCAGACGGAGCAGACGGAGCAGGACCAAAAGGCGGCTGAGCTTGCGGCGCTTGCGGCGAAGAGAGAACAAGATCTTCGAGATGCGAAGAGAGAGAGGATCCAAGAGCGAATCCTTTTGAGGCAGTTGGGAGGCGAGAGACGTGCCAAAGAGAATCCCTCCCCCGATGCAAAGAGCAAGCAGCCAAGCACTTCTGGAGCTGTTCAAGATGGGGCGAGCTCTTACCAAAAGGCAGACCGTGTTGCTGACGTGCAGGAACCGAGGCGAATCGCCTTTGAGGTCAAGAGCCACCAGGAAGCCAAGAAGGCAGACCGCGCTAGTTCCGTTGCTACGGAACAGACAGCCAATGTGCAAAAGCAAGTTGCACAGCCTTCGCAAGCGGAGCTTCTTGTTGAACCCGTCCTCAAAGCGGCCCAGGATACTTTGTTGATTCCAGTGGGGTTAAAGCGAGTGATGTTGGATGTGTTTCTTGTCAGTTGATTGTGCTGTCTCCATCTTGAGGACTTCTCAGTGACGGCACCAGAGGAGCCACTCAGCAAGAAGGCCGATATCAAGAGCCAGGTGTCGGAGAACCACCAGCAGCTTCAATCACAAATGACAGCAATGTATGCCTGGATGCAGCAGCAGATGACCGTCCTGGACAACCAAGCGCCGAAGGCCGAAGAAGACTACCTACGAAGCTATGCCCTTGCATTGCAGACGCAAGCGCAGGCGGCAAATCTGGTCCAAAACGAAGCCTTATCTGATCCTCTTGGCTGGGCGGGGCAGTCGTTGGGAGTCCCTGCAATTCTGAGCAACCCGTTCTTGCTGCAACAAGCGGCAGCGGCGCCGACACCAAGCAAGGCAGCCTTCCCAGGGGCAGCTCTACCCTCACACCTACAGATACTGTCCACACCCGCCACACCACTTCCCACAGTTCCCACTGTCCCTACCTCATTGCCAGTACCAATCGCGGTGGTGCCAATGCGGCAAGCACCCTCAGCCCCAGTGCCACCGAAGGCCCCCCAAGTTGTTATGCCGAAGCCAGGCTTTGCAGCAACGCCGCCAGCTTCCGCTCGTTTAAACAAAGCCGCCTTGTTAGCTCAAATCCCCTGCAAATCTGGAGATTCGGCAAGAGCTGCTATGCTGGCGCAGATACCCTGCAAAAGTAGGGGTCCATTTGCGCCTTCACACTAAACGCCGGCGCCGTTCTCCGCCGCATGGCCAGGTTGCCGCCGAAGCGCTCCAGCAGCATCCGGATTCGTTTCAGATTAGAAGCCTTCGTGTCTTCATGTTCTGGGCATGCGTTCGTGTCAGAGGAGCTCTGACAAGCTTGGTCTGAGCCAGGCCAAATGCGCAGGAAGACCGACTTACGCAAACGACTAGAAATGCTGCATGCAGCTTGCTGTCCAGTATTGCACTTCCTAAACTCACCCAGAACAGTAGGATTGAGCACCGTCTTCGTTGTATCTACCTCATGCGGCCGTTTTCAGCTGATGTGGGTGCCGATGGCTCGTCTTGCCTTTGGCGCCTGAGATGGGATGTGGGGCAAGCCATAAGTACGAGGCGATTGCATTTTTCCAGGACTTGAGCTTGTTCTGTCGATGGCAGTCGAGTCCATATTGCAACCTCCTGGAGGTAAGTACTTTGTCTGGCATAGAGGAGGATAAGCCGAAACAGGAAGGTCTGCGGGAGCCCGAGCTTGAGCCCTTGCGGCATCAAAATGCTCATTACAAGAACAATCGGTAGCTCCACATTAGTTACTTGCTACCAAGGCTTGCCGACTTGCAAGACTTATGTCAGGAGACGTCTGCCAAAATGGCTCTGCCATTTTGGCTCAAGATCGTGGACCGTGGGTCCTTCTAAATTTGTTACCCGCTCCCGCTTTCTCCCTTGCGACTGTCGATCATGGCACTCACCCCCGTTGCTAATGTCGATGACGTCCTTGCCTCCAGCATGGAGACGGTTGAGAGTTTGGTCCCCCCTCGCGACACAGGGGACAGTGATCCGGAATGGGAGAAGCCTGATGACCACGTTGCCTTGGCCCGTGCTACCTTGGCACACAATGTCCATGCCCACGAGGATGAGACCGCAAACACGGCCCTGGCTTCCTTCACGGCTCTGGAGGTGGATGACACCAGCATGGCCCTTCGGCTCCAGGAAATGGAAGCGGCCATGTCCCGCCTCCTGGCGAAGGGGGACGAGATGGTGGCTGTCACTGGACAGGAGGTTCCAACCACAGGTGACTTTGTCCCTGAGGAAGGTGCTCCTGATGATCCCATGGGAAGCGAGGATGTACCAACCACAGGTGACTTTGTCCCTGAGACAGGTCCGTCTGATGACCCAAAGGACAAGGCCAACAAGACCAGACCTTACTCTGCCCTACCCGCCGGCACCCTGGAGGAGAAGGTCTTCCACATCGAGGGCTTCCCGCAGAGGACTTCCCGGGCATCGGCAAGAAGAGTGCGGACCTGGCACAGCAGTTGACGAAGGAGGAGATCGCATCCTTGTTCTCCAAGCTCAAATCGGAGCAGTGGAATCGCCCAGCTGTGGAGAGGGTCCTGGAGGTGTATCATATCTACAAGCGCCAGTTGGCCCAGGAGAAGATGCTGGCTGGGCCCAGGCCAACAGACCAGAAGGAGCTCAGCTTTGCCGACCAGGTGCCTATGGCCCTGAGGCTTAGCCTGGCTCACACGGTGGCAACCCAACCCTTTGACGAGGTGACGTTTGCCAACAAGGAGGCGGGAGAAAGACCCCACCTCAGAGACGATTGGCAGCCGAGCCAGGAGACAAGGGCTTTCCACCCGCAGCTGTCGGCCGCAATGGACATCACGAAGAAGAGCTCGGGCCCAGTCGACAAAGACGCCAAGAAGCCCACGGAGGAGGAGTTCCTGGACCACATCAACCCCCAGCTGGATGTGATCGTCGAAATGCAAGCGGGCGCCCAGAGTGTTGACGAGGCCAAGGGCGCGTCGATCCTTCGCCAGCTCGACACAGAGAAGCTTCGCTCCCTTCTGAAGCGAAACTACCTCCAGGGCCCCGGGAATCAGGGAGAGGAGTTTTTCTCTGCACAGACTACCTTGGAAGAGGCCAAGGCCTCTAACAAGCGCATGCAGGATGAGGGATCCCAGCGCTCCCAACTCCTCCGACCTGTGGCCGATTCTATCGATACCTGGGGTACCCAGTTGCGCGCGGCCCTCGAGATGAACGTTTTCAATCCGGAGAGCCCGCTCAAGGAGATGGAGCTTGACGACATTGAGGCCATGAAGGAAAGGTACATGAACACAAAATTCCTGCTGAATCAGAGCAGGAATCCCTTCCCTGCCTCCTTGCTGCAGGAGCTCCCCACCTTGGCTGCTTTGCAGCGTGAGGGCGAACGAGTCGCCCGGGACTCTGGCGAGGGGCTGTCGTCCACAGGTGCCTTTGGCCCTGAGGAGCAGTCCCCGGAGGCAGTTCTGGGAGTTCCAGTGGGCTCGGTCGAGTTCCAGATCCTGCGCCTCAAACGTATCATCGAGTTGCACATGGGGGAGCAGCGCATGATCGGGGGCAAATGGAAGCAGCTGCCTGGGACCCTCGAGGCCCCTACGTGGGCAAAGCCCCTCCCCGAGGGGGAAAAGCTCATGCTCGAGATGAGGACTCACCCCTGCTCCTTCCGACAGCCCTTCTTTGAGCCGATTGCCCTCACCATGGAGGAGATTGAGGCACAGGTTGCAATGGGCACGAGGCCCCCTTTGAACAAAATCGGCCCGTTCCATGCTGAGGGGGAAGGGAATACCCACTGGCAAAAGGAAGTGCAGACGTGGGACTTGGTCAGCCTCTTCTCCTGCTTTGGCCACACCTACTCGGCCAGGCACCTTTATGCAGTTTGGAGCCACCTTCCGATCACTATCAGGGCCCACAAAAGAGGGGCCAAGAACAAGGAACAGAACCTTCAGCGACGAGCTGACCATCGCGAATTGATGAAGGAGGCCAAAGAGTTTGTGATTCTGCATGACCTCCCGGTGCCTACGACGAACCAGGAGTGGAAGCAGTTCTACCGTGAAATCGGATCATTTTTCGCTGCCAAGGTCTTCATCAACCGCACGCCGCAGGTGGTCCTCGACCTCCCCGTAGCAGACATCCATGACTCCAAGCAGCACATGCGACTGCGAGCCGTATGTGATGAAAGGATCACCCTGCCGTTGAAGGCTTTCCGTGACTTCCCGGAGATCTACAACTCGCTCTCCCACTCTTTGGGGCAGGACTCGGTGGTGGAGGTCAAGATGGCGTGGCGTTGCAACACCGTGCAGTGGTGGACAGCCCGCCTCAAGCCGGAGTACGCTGGCCCCGTCTACCGGAAGCTTGGCTACTCGGAGAGCCACATCAAAGGCCTCGGCTTGGGGAACATGGACGCCTCAGCTGCCTTTGGCGCTGAAAGGATCCCTCTGGACCCCGGGTCGGAGCAGGAGCGCTCCCTCCCGCCCATCACTCCAGACAACGTTTCGAGTGTGGCCTCGGACGACTACAAGAAGAAGAACGTGGGAGACAAGACTGCCCACGTGTTTTGGGCCAAGATGGAGTGCGGCCTGGTCCTCAGCTCCGTTTCCCCGTGGGAAATTGTTGACAAGAAGAAGGGTGAGACTCGTGGGGGCTACGTTTGCCGCCACTGCAAAGGATTCTGGCGAAGTGGCAGAGGGGCCAGCCGTTTCCTTCTCATCACGGGGGAGCACAAAGGGAAGTCGGCCCAGCTCCAGCTCATCCTGGACGAGCCCCCCCAGCACCTCTACGAGGCCTGGGTGAAGGACCGGATTGAGTTTTACAAGAGGGTGGAGCCCACGGCGGCCCCTCGCGATCGCTCCCTCCGTGTCAACCCCAGCCTCAGCTCCAGGCTCCGGTTCAGCAAGACGAACCTCATGGGCCAGGTCTCCGACATGATCTGGTCGGTGGTGCTCTCCAACCCGGAACGGGATGGCCTCAAGAAGATCCATGAGCTTGCGGCTTCCCGGGTCCGCCCGGCCTGAGCTCTGCCCCTTTTTGAAGAAGGCACGTGGAGGGGAAACCCCTTCCAGGTGCCTATGGCCCTGAGGGGGGTTTCCTCTCCCTTCAGGTTCTGTTGCTTTCCTTTGAAGGTCTTTGTGCCTCTGGCCCTGAGGTGACAGGTATTAGTGATTGTACCTACAGTGCTCAGGACTCGGGCCATGTCACAGGCCTTTTCTTCGGCATGAGGAATACCCATTGCGGGAAGGGGAGGGACTTCCTCCCCCCTTTTTCCTCAAAAAGGGGAAAGACTACTTGCTCGACCTGCCGGCCTACAGACCATCGCCTCGTGCGAAAAACAAGGGCACTTGGATTGCATTTGGCTATTCCTCTCTCCCCCTCTCCCTCTCTCTCTCCCTTTCTTTCTCTCTCTCGCTCTCTCTCTTTCTCCTTTCCCGTAGTCTCCTCGGCTCAGGATGACTGCCTTTGTATTTTGCTGCCCGTCCCCTTTTGGACGGGCCCTGGTTAGGTCCCCGGACCCTCTCATCTCTGCTCTCTTCGAGCAAAGCATAGGCCCCCTGCTCCTAGATCCGATTGTCAGGGGGTCGGGCCAAGCCTTTGAGGAGGAACAAGTGGACGTGGCGCGGCCCTGGGGGCAAGCAATTGTGGATTTTATGGCCCGCTGTAGGCCTACTCAGGACTTGGACCGGGTATTAGGCGTCCCCGAAGGGCCGCCCCGACCGGTGGTCCTCTCATACCGCCCTACTCGGGTCTTCCAGTTGATCGTGGAAAGGGCCCTCTCTCTCTCTGCAGGCCCCACAGGGGAGGAGGATGTCGCATTGCTCCTCACCTGCCTTTGGGACCTTTGCACTAAGGTTGCTGCAGGCTCTCCCTCTCACCTGTTTTCAGAAGTGATCCAACGGAGGGCAGAACGAGATCGCCTCGAGTGGCGAGAACTACGAGAAGGGGTCTTGGTTACCCCTTGTACGGTGAGCCGGTGGCGACATTGAAGCCGGGCAATGTATCTGAACACCAGTCTACCAACCAGCGGGCCCTGGAACGTGGCCTACGGGAGAAGTGGGGGGAAAGGCTCCTCTCGTACCTCCTGCCGGCTGCAGGGCGGATCCCGCATATGGCGGCCATAATGCCCTTGGGTACCACGCTCATCTCTCTCGAGCTCAAGGGGGAGTTCATGGATCTCTTAGGAGATGCTAGGTTCCGCACTCTCAGGATGAGATGCCTCTCCTATGAAGAGCTCAGGCGCCTTGGTTTCACTGCCATACCCTGGAAGGAACAGGATGTTCGCTCTCTCCTCAACACTCTCCGGGACCAGGAGGTGTCCCCTCACAAGCTTCAGCAGGTGTGGGACACCCTTAAGTGGTTTGCTAAAAAGTTCGGGCTCCTTGCGGTCGACGAGGTCTTTCGGCTCACTGAGAAGAAGAAAGCCCTCTCGGAGTCCTTAGTTAGCACGGTGCACCGTCCGATGCGGAAAGCTCAGGTCCCCTCCAAGTCCTTCGTGGTTCAGGCCGAAGAGGTGGCGGCTCGCCCTCTTTCTAGCTCGGCCACAAGAATCGAGCTCATGGATGCCTTCATCTGCGGCATTGCAAGGTTCCAGCTCGGCTCCAGTGCCCGCTTTAGTGACCTCCAACATACCAGCCCGGATACCCTCAAGGTGACCTCCTCCACCATCGAGTTTTCAGCATGGCAGACCAAGACCCATTCGGCAGTGGCGATTCACAAAAAGCCCGTCCCTCTCATCTGCCCCAAGTACTCCTTCTCGGGCAAGGATTGGTGGACCCCTCTCCTCTCCACCTGGCGCAAGCTTGCGGCGACGCCCATGTTCGATGCCATGGACTACCTCATCCCGACCGTGGGTAAGGATTATGACGGCTTCATCGCGAGACCCGCAACCTCTCAGCGCGCTCTGAACTGGTTGCGCTCGGCCATGTCCAGACAGGAAATCGACAAGGCCCTGTGGGAGGGCCTCACATGGCACTCCTTCCGTGTGTTCATGCCGGACTGCGCCTTTCAAGCCCACGTTCCTCGTGACCAACGGCAGTACCTTGGGAACTGGATGGCGGAGAGTACTGCTGATGTCTACACCCGGGAGAAGAGGAATGTGGTCTGTGCCATCTGGGAAAAGGTCACCTCAAACTTGGAAAACATCGACACGGCGGGCACCCGCACCTCTGTCATCGACCTCTCTCGCGAAGAACCGCAGCACCCCCAGGATAGTCCTGCATCTGTTGGGCTCCCAGTCGCAGGTGCCAACGGCCCTGAGGGGGGGAGCCCTCCTCGTCCATTGCAGGGCTCATCCCCTCACTCTCACAATGCAGACAGCCCGGCATCGAGCTGGCTTATGACTCAGATACCAGCGGACGAAGTGCCTCCGCCCCAAGGACCTCTCACTCCAGTGGCTACTAAGGCTGCCCGAGGCAACAGAAAGCGGATCCATCTTCTCAACCAGGACCTCCGCGCTGTGGGCTGTGGCTGGAGCCCTTCCATGGACAAGGTCGAGGCCCTGAACGCCATTGACTACCAGGGCGGGAGATTCCAGTGAATCAGCCTCCTCAGGTAGTCTGACTGACGACTCCGTGGACACGGCCTCGGAGGCGGAGAAGGTCACCTACCACAGGACCTTGACAAGGCTCTGGCCTCCCAAGGCCAGCCTTAGATGGACGACATCTTTCAGTTTTGGGGGTTCATTTGTGCCGCACATCCTTCGGCTTCGGCTTCTTTCTGGACGGCACAAAATTTTGGGACTCTTTTCTGTACAAGGAGGGTTCCCGATCCCCAGGTGCCGTAGGCCCTGAAGGAGGGGACCCTCCTCTGTTTCGAATGATCTCTTCCTAGACTGAGGTCTTCGACCGAAGGAACATCCGGGAGTCGGCAGCCACACCAATCCACCATGCAAAAGAGGTCTTGCGAGCATGGTGCTTTTGGTGTGCCATTTTCATGCGGATTTCTGACATTAGTTACTTGCTACCAAGGCTTGCCGACTTGCAAGACTTATGTCAGGAGACGTCTGCCAAAATGGCTCTGCCATTTTGGCCCAAGATCGTGGACTGTGGGTCCTTCTAAATTTGTTACCCGCCCGCCCTTCCCGATGGCAGCCGCAGCCACTCTGGCCAAACCCCCTGAGGCCATCCCGGATGCTTATGCCGACAACATTGCCGAGCTCCACTCGTCTGTGGCCACTCTGTTTGCAAGAAAGCAGATCCCCTACTCGGTCCAGGCCACACTGGCCAGGGAAGGGTACATAACTCTCGAGGACATTGCCGACCGCTGGGATGATGCGTCGACTGCCCGAACCCAGGGCCCCAGGGATCTAGGCTTTGCCAGCGGTGCCAATGGCTTCACAGATCAAAGCAGCGCTTTCACTGCCATGCGCCTCTTTCAAACAATCAAAGCGGCTAAAGACGTGACCAAGAACCTCTATGCACCTCGATCCAGTGTCACTCCTGGCCAGACCTCTACGGATCGCTCAGGCCTTGAGATGCTGTGTGACCGGCAGCAGCTCCTTTCAGATTGGACTAAGGAAACGGGGCTCCCGAAGCCCAAGCTCGAAGCCCAGGGGAGTGACAATCTTCTCAAAGCTCAGTTTCGTTTCTGCTCCAAAGGGGAACTCGGCTTCATCAATGCGAAATACATCATCAGTGCCTTACCAGAGCTTGAAGAAAAGCCTTTTAAGACAAGGCGGAAAGTGACGGTAGACGGCTGGGACAAAGAAGAAGAGGAAGAGGAACGCAAGCTCCCGACTACCAGGAGACACCTGGAGCGGATGCACCGCGTTTTTCGCAACAATCTCTCGATGTGCCTTCTCGCTTTTCCCCAGTTCTCTCAGTTTGACGCCTCGAAGCATGATCTTGATGATTGGTACGACTGGTTCTGGGGCCCGGACATTGCGGGACGGACCCCGGCCCCGTCGGAAAAGACTCTCCTCTATGTCGCTCAAGGAAGCCATGATGGAAGTCCGTGCTGATGCCCTTTTTTGGACAAGGGAAGTCTACGAGCGTGTGCCTCGGCTGGCGAGAAGGGCCCTAAGGGCACCCCCAAAGGTGAGAAGGGTACCCCCTTCGCCAAATTTCCGGCAAGGGCCCATGGAAAGGCAAGCAAGCCTGGTCGGTGTACCAGCCCTTTCTCAAGCAATCCACCAAGGGCAAAGAAGGCAAGAAGGGCACTTTCAAGGGCAAGGGCAAGGACTCTTGGCCCCTGAATTGGTCCCGGAACAATCCGAAGGGCACCCCCTTTTGCAGGGATTACCACATTAAGAAGCAGTGTTCTGGCAACTGTGGACGCTCCCACAACTGCCCTGTCACCAAGGACGGCTGGGTGTGTAATGCTCCTCCGAATGAGCATAGTCCTGACAACTGCCCCTACAAGTGAGGGCCTCCGGTCCCAGGTGCCTTCGGCCCTGAGCTTGGGGATGTGTCGGAGTCGGTGACACACGTCGCCCCCTCCACATCAGGTGCCCTTGGCCCTGAACGAGGACAAGCACGGGACAGATCGCGATCCCCCCGTGGGAAACCTGTCTCCAGGCCAGGTGGGAACACCACGCATGCGGGCCTGCAGCCCTCCAGTAGTGCTCTCTCGGATGACAAGCCCTTCTCTCTCGGGCCTTGGATTGAGAAACATTACCGGGCTCTCTGCCTGCAAACTGTTCTCCTGAATGGCTGAATGGAGTCCCTGACCGCCTGGTCCAGAGACTCCTCTGGTCTCCTTCCGGGTGCACGGCCAGCGTTCCTCAGGGTGCCATCATCTTGCCATTCGCGGGTCGGGAGGATGCCTCCTCTCTGGAAGCGATCCTTCATGCTCAAGCCCCGGAACTCTCCTCGCGGGTGCTTGCTTTTGATTCCTCTAGGAAACCCTCGGGTAAGGACCTCCTTAACGATACCCTATTCGGGTCTCTCTGTGCCTCGGCGCTGCAAGGAGACATCTCCTTTGTGGGAGGATGTCCGGATCTCAAAACCTGGGGGTTGGATAGATGGTTTCAGGATTCAGGTACTTTCCATGCACTTAGGGCCCGCTCTGCTGACTGAGGCGACACTCCACTTGTCGGATGAGGAAAGCACCCTCCTCCTTAGGTTTCTTCTGCTTGTATGGCTCGCCTTCAAGGCGACCTCGCCCAGTGCTTCTCCTAAGGTTTTCTGCTTCTTGGAGATGGCTGAGGATCCAGCTCGGGGAGCCACTTCCCCATCCAAGAGACGCTCCTCCTCGGCCTGGGCCACTCCGGCCCTGCATGCTTGGACCTTAGACCTAGGCCTTGGGGTTCTGCACTTTGATCTTTGCTCCTTTGGTTGGGTTTTTAGTCGTCCCTCTAGAGCGGTCACGAACCTTCCCCTCCAATCCTGGGAGGGGAAGATCTGCACACACACGCATCACCCCAAACCAGATCGTCCCGTGCCTGGGGACACCCGACGACCGGAAGCCATGCTACAGAGTGTCGCATCGGCGTTGGCCGAAAGTCTTCGGGACACCGGTGTCTCAGTGAAGAATTCACCACCAGGTCTGGTCTCTGAACGCGTTGTTGATCCCTCGCTGGGACTGGAGCGTCCTCACTGGGCGGCTCAAGGGTCAGCACCCCTCGGGGCGGCTGTTCAACCCTCCCTACCCTCGCTGGGAGGGAAGCACCAGGTTGCTGGGTCTCCTGCTGCAGGTACCCATGCAGGCGATCACTTGCTCGCTGCTACCCCAACGGTTGGGTGTGATCGGCCTTCGACGCTGCCTCTCTTTGAGAAGCTTACCCTTGACGATGCAACAATGCGTGTCGCACACGGCTTTAAGGTTAGGCCCTTAAGGGATGGAGGAGGCAAGACCTCTCCAGGCAGGACCCCTCCACACCTGCGCAAAGGACTGACGGCTCCTGCTCTGGGTAAGTTTATTCGAGAAAAGGCGGGACCCCTGGTCCCCTCTTTTCTAGCCTCCACGGCCGCGGGTGCCAAGCAACACCCTTTCCCAGAGTCTGTTCTCAAGGAGATTCGTGATTTCATCTTGCCCAAACACTCCGAACCGGATTCAGGTCAGCCCTTTCACTTGGACGTGATCAGGCAACTCCTGTGTGACATCCAGGATGTCGACTCTGAGTACCCATTGATACTCAAAGAAGGTGTCCCTTTAGGAGTGGATACCCCTACTCTCCAATCTCCAGGCGTTTGGCCTCTGAAATCGGAGCTCACTGGCGAAGAGTGGGACCCGGGGGAAGCACCACCTCCCACTGGCCACGCGAATTACTCTGCTGACACCTTTCGGGAGGAGATTCGGGCCACCTTCGTAGAGGAAACTCCCCTGGGCATGGTTATTGGACCATGCACACGCGCGGAAGCAGCAGCGCACTGCCAGTGTGCAGAGGAAGAGCTTTGCCCCTGCCCCATGGCGGGAATTGATGAGTCGGATAAGATCCGTTCCATCTTTGATGGGTCCAAGGGAGGTGCTAATCTCCGCATACAGCAGAATACAGTTGAGAAAACCACGGCTCCCACTGTCATGGACTGCGTCCAATGCCTACACTGGCTCAGGGCATCACGTTCTCGTGGGAAGCCAGGTGCCTATGGCCCTGACCCTGGGGAGCATGAGACCTCGGTTGCCTCGGGGCCCCGCGAAACCGCCCCTAGCGCGGAAAACAGGGAACAGGATGATCGCTCTGAAAAGGACGACTCCAGCGCCGGTTCCGACCGACCCTGGAGCTTTCCGGGCTCTGATGAGGATTGGATCTTACTCAAAGCTGATGTGACTAAGGCGCACAGTCAGAATCAAGATTCTCCTACGAGAGTGGCGTTACCAAGTTGCGCAGCTTGGTGAAGAATGGTGGGTCAACACCGTAGGCACCTATGGAATGGCCAGTGCCCAGCTTTACTGGGGAAGGATGGCTGCCATCCTTCTTAGGATTGTTTATGCCGTGTTTCCTGAGGTCGACTGGGGCTTTGTTTTTGTCGACGACTTTGCCTGGCTCCTCCGTAAATCGAACTCCCCTCTTCTGGCAACAGCAATTTGCTTGCTGCTACTTGCCCTCGGCACTCCCCTGAGCTGGAAGAAAACTCTTCTTGCTGAGGTCAATACGTGGCTTGGCTTTGTCATTGACCCAAAAGGACCATGTGTGCAGATGGCCCGAGACAAGCACCTGCTTGTCATCGGCATTCTTGAAGAACTTAAAAGCGGTAAAGTCATGTCGGCTTCTCAGATCGCTAGTGCTCTGGGTAGGCTGCAGTGGGCGACAACGGCCTGCCCCCTCACTAAGCCTTTCCTCCAACCCTTTTGGGCCTGGAAGAAGGCCTGCCTGACTGCAGGACGTCCGGGTAAGCTTATCCGTGCACTCTCAGCTCTGCTCCTGTCTCTTTTTGACCAGAAGTTCAGACAAGCATCGCCGTATGCCCCGCTTGCCATTTGGTCGGGGGCAAGTGATGCCAGTGCCTCAGATGATGGCAGCGCTTACGTGGGCGGCTGGCTTTCCAACGTGGACTCCCCGTCCAAGTCGGAAGTCTTCTGGTTCCACTACCAGGTCACTGCAGAGCGACACCCATGGGCCTTTGACAAGGGCTGCCCCAAGAAGCGCATCGCCGCCCTCGAGATGTTTGGCACCCTAATCCTCTCTCACTTTCTCATGGAGAAGGCACCGGCGTTCATCCCGAACCTCCGGCTCCCCCTGGTCAGCGACAACCAAGGGAATGTTTACTCGCTCCTGAACGATAAGTCCAAGAGGATGCCAACGTCTGTCATCCTCATGGAAGTACTGTTCCAGCTGCACCGACATGGTATGCAGCTTGCTCCCTCCCACGTCAAGCGTGACTTCAACACGTGGGCTGATGATCTGACTCATCCCAACTTTCAAGGTTTCACCCCATCTCTCTGCTTGCCGGTGGAACCCGTGCTTAAGCATTTTTCCCTAATCCGCTCTATCCTGGAAGATCGAATCTTCGACGATCCTTCTGACCTCACCCATGGGCCCGCGCAGGGCGCCCGGTGAGGATGTGGCTGCCTCCTGTACAGGCTTCTTTCTGGACGGCACAAAATTTTGGGACTCGTTTCTGTACAAGGAGGGTTCCCGATCCCCAGGTGCCGTAGGCCCTGAAGGAGGGGACCCTCCTCTGTTTCGAATGATCTCTTCCTAGACTGAGGTCTTCGACCGAAGGAACATCCGGGAGTCGGCAGCCACACCAATCCACCATGCAAAAGAGGTCTTGCGAGCATGGTGCTTTTGGTGTGCCATTTTCATGCGGATTTCTGACATAGCATTTTGTCTCTCACACGGGTCCACTGTTCCTTGTCTCTCAAAGGTCAGAGAACAGTAGGTCTCTGGGTCGTGACTATCATCCAGAAGGCACTTCGCCTCAATACCTCGTCGTGTAGGGACCTGTCAGTGTGGTGCAGGAAATGTCGACGGAGACAAGTGCGAGTCTTGGAGACAAAGTCCAGCTGCAAGAGCTGCGAGAATCCTGACCTCTGCTAATGAAGCCTTCAGGCCTGCAAAGTATCGGCCGGATCCCGATATGGATGGAGTCGAGGTCACTTCTGTTGAAGGCAATGGAACTGACCCCGAGAAGCTTGATCCTGCTTGCTCTGAAAACTTGAAGGTGACGGCGAACTGGCAAAAGCGGTTGCGGCAGCCAACGACGAAAGTATGGGTCTGAGAGCGTGCATCGACCAAAAATCGGTACATGCAGGCTTTCGTGCATTTTCCCGTTGACTACTGCAGAACTTCTCATGAAGTACGCTCAGTCCTCTGCTGAAGGCATCCATGATGCTTGTCGCTTTGAGCTCTGAGCTTCGCGTATCGTGCCTGCTTTTTCCAGGCAAGCGGCGATCTGGCTCTGCAAGACGTGTTTTCGCACCTTCCAGTGGCCCTCTGTCAGGCACGATTCGCTGCCATGTTGACACCTTTGCACACCTGCAGTGACCAGGGGAGCCTTTGCAAATCAGCAGAGGGCAGCTAGCCCGGTTTTTCTTTGCTGGAGGGTCAGGATTGCAGTCAGCCTCATCAGGTCTCCTGAACCTGAAGCTGGAGAACTCGTTCTGGCAAACAACAGAGTCCGGCACACGAATGAAGTCTGATGAAATCAGGGTCATTTAGTTGCAAAAGCATCACCTGCAGGTTGGGGGCCTACGTTTGCAACATCATCTTGCTGATCGTGAAAGTCCCGGACACCTCAAGGCCTTGTCGAGAAGTCAGGTCACGGTTATGTAAGCTCGCGTTGATAGCTGCAAGGCAATTAAGAAGGTTTGGAAATCATGCGCTCCTGTCGGGAACGTCGCTCAAAGCCTATCATCACCTGCGATGACAAGCATAAGCCATCCGAGCTTTCGGGGCAGTCTCTCTTTCGTAATCATGTGTACCATGTGACCGGTGTTTGGCAAGCTGTGCTGCAGTTTGAGCCTGTTGCCCTTGACAACAATATACTGATGCTCACAGAAACACCCATGGAACAGTGGAACACATGTCTCCCTCAAAGTTCGGCCATGAAGTATTTTCAAGCAGTGTTGGGCATTCCTTTTGCCGAATTCTGGTGCAAGGGTGCTGGCATGGCGTCCGGACCTTTGCAAAGACCGAAGCCGGAATGTATGTGTGTTTCCGTGTGCCCTTTTCTTTCACGGGAATGCATCCACTGTGATGTCATCAGGCACGAGGCAAATGCTGCTCGGCAATACCTGTAGGAGATTGGCTTGCTGATGTCCTACATTCAATATGCACAGCAGTACTGCGAGTACTCAGGAAATGAGTAGACCTCTTGCACGTGCATATTAGCACAAAGACCCTGTGAGTAGAAAAGTAGATACGTGACTCTTAGCGAGTCATGAAATAATTAATCTCCAATTGCGTACTGCGCGGATCGACTGTTGAGACAGCATCAGCAGACGGAGGCAAAGCTTCAGCAGGCGAATAGCTTCCGTGTGTAAGTTGTGCTGCAGAGACATGCTGCAATCGATCTGCTTTTCACCCTGTAGTATTGCAGAAACACATCTTGCATACTTGACGTGCCAGTTTCACTGGCTTGATTCAAGCTTGTTCTTAAATGAATTCGATGTGGCATATTGCTGCGTGTCTATAAGGTGGACAAGTTGGCTACAGTAACCTGAAGCGGCAGGGTGGAAGTAAAGATCCCTTTCGAGCCACGCAGCCTTTTCAATTCGGCTGCCTCTCTGGGGCTCGGGTCTGGAGAGTCGCAAGCAAAATGAATCCCCAGATTGAGGTGTCCGTTTGGTCTTGTGGTTCTTGTGGAGGACACGCTTGTGGCATTCGATCCTGCAGCCGTCCTGCATTGTAAAATGCTATCGAAGCGCGGCCTTTCAGAATTCCTCACCGAAGATGCTCAGGCAGAAAGCGTGTCGAATTCGCCAACTGGGCATCTCTGAGAGTCGACAGACAATCCCTCACTGCCATGGCTGCGCCATGTCATGGGGTCAGGTGCTCCGAGGCCTTCGATAGTCTTCGGCCTCAATGTGTCCGTGGAACTTCGCTCGCAACATCTCGCAACACAGCAGTCAGTCACCAGTCGTGTGTAGTCACATGTAGTTTGATCCGATAGTGCGTCATTCGACCTGTTGCGATAGGGCATAGCTTCCAGTGCAGTTGGGGGGAAGTGATCAAAACACCTTCAACAGAGATAGTGTTCAGAAATCCAGCACTGCTAACTGCAGGATGTTTGAAAGTCATCAGTCACTCATTTCCGAATCACGCATGTCAAGCTAATGACAGAAGGGATTGTTGAGCTCGTTGGCTTTTTTGATGCGGCTGTATACATGTTGAGAGCGGGAAGGAATCAAGGATGATAGATCAAAAGAGATCTGCTTCCAGTGGAGTTGGGAGGTTTCAGAGAGTATTTGTCTTAGAAGCTTTTTGTCGATTTAAGACCTTGCTTGGCCACCTTGGAGGCCGGACGAAGCCGAAGCTGGGCAACACGGGCAACAGCAGCAGCTGGAAGAAAGTTCTGCTTGGTGCAATGCCAGCTGCTTAGGGCCTCAGGGCAGCACTGCGCAAGCGTGGGAAGAGAGGTCGCGTGTGCGTTCAACGAGCGCAGTGGCATGTCTGCAGCCAGGACAAGTGTCAGCTGGAAGTGACCGCACAGGACTTAGTTTGAAGTGCGCTTCTGTTTCGGTTGATGGAAACGTTGCGTACAAACGAGTGAACTAGCGCATGGCCTGCTCACCGCTTGTCAGGCAGAGGGCAGTCAGCTGCGTGGCGAGCCATGCTCCCGGCCACCCGCGAGTGGATCCCAAAACGTCCTTTCCGATTTGACGTCCTCAGGACCAACCTGGGAGACTCTAGCGCGGCCGTACTCGAGGCTCCAACGGCCAGCTGGCACCCAAGCCATTTCAGTCACTACATGTCGCAGAGTGTCCTCGGATACGTCGTCAAAGTAAAAATCTAAACGCACATGGTTACTTATTTTATAGTTTATATGTACGCATACACCCACGCACTCTGGTCTTTGTTTTAAGTTTCTAGCAAGACTTCAGCATTTGATCCCGAACAAGGTCGGAACGATACAGGAGCCGTGCCGTACAGTTTCAAGTTTTAGATGTACATGTAATTAGATAAATATATGCATATATATATATATGTATATGTATGACATATATGCAATTATATGTACGTATGTATGTACCCATGCAACTTCATACACATGCACATAGGTATACACAGTACAAATAGTTTTGCATCGGTCCGCACAGAGGTGCAATGCGCAGAAGCGCTAACGGGATGCAGCTTCGCAGGTTGCAGCCAAGGCAAACCAGAGTCGTTGAACAAGACAAGGGCTTTGCAATTTCTTCCACTTAGCCGAATCTCTCGTGCCTGCTGGGGTTTTGAGTGCTTGCGCTCGTCGTCCAGCGTTAACGCCAGCATTGTCGGCTTGCCCTTAAAAGGTTCGACAGCATTTGTGAACCGCGGCAAACATCAGGACCTCATTTCCCACGGTTCCAGTCCTCGGCGAGTCCTCGGTGTCTTGCGACAAAATACACGCATCAGCCGTTTTCGGCAAAGTTTAAATGTCCAAATCACGAAAGCAAACTCAGCTGGAGTGTTGCATAGTGTTGGTTTACTCTGAACCTTCGGTGGCTTCGAAGGCATGGAACCCTTCCTCAATGAAAACCTAGTCTTTTCAGGTTGATTGGTTAGGAGCCGGTTCATGAATTTCAATGACTTTGTGCAGATGCTGAGCAGGAGACGTATTGAATTCAGGGTACGGGGCCTCCCTCGTCCAACTCCCAATACCGTTCCTGGCTTTGGTGTAACCGCTGCTACTACTCCGTTCACAGCATGACTGCCACTGCTGTCTGCCACCCTACAGGTACTGCTGTTGCTGTTGTTGCCGGTGCTGTTGGCCCTCCTCTGCGTTGTCACTACCGCTCCTGTTGGACTTTGAGCCAGGCAAGCAGCGGCTTGAACGACATTTAGAAGCTAAAATACGCTTGTACCCTAAAGCCTAAACGGACAGCTCAAAGCTTCGACATCCATCTGAGCTTATCACAGACCATTTGTGGATTGTGGGCTGTATCTTCGAATGCCTGGGCCTTTCAGACCTCGGGTAGTTAACATCTATAGATATCGTGTGGGATGACTCTCCCCGTATGTGCCGCCCCGCCCCTCCAAGGCCTCCTTGTTCGCCCGTAGCTGTTCTGCTGGTGCTACTGCCAATCCTACTGCTACTTCGACCTTACCGATGCCGCGAGTACTAACGCCGCTGGCAGTGCCCCGCGTTCGCCCAGCCTTGTTCAAGTTGCTCTAGTGAAATAAGGTCTGCCCGGGCTTCAAGGTGTCCGTGCAGCCAATGGTGATCGACCCGGGTCTGTCCGGGCTTCAAGACATCGCAACTTCGATGTCACATCGGTGCCTCAAGCTGTGTTGCGGCACGTTTCTCCGTTTCTCTCTGGAGGCTCGAAATGGTTTGGAAGGTCCCGACCTCGAAAGCCGATCCGTGGCGCTAGCCCGTAGCTGCCGTGGCTTTAGCTTAGTCAGGTGGGAAGGAGGCCTCTGGGCAGCCTAGCGGCTTGGCAGGTTGCATAGCTCTGCCATTTGTGCGTCTCCGCATCGCGGTGTGCATGCCCATGACCTTCGTTCGACCTGGCAGCATGCAGCCATTCGTCTTCCAAGACGCACATAAACATAAGCACATGAGCCCCTTCCACATACCACGTGTTTGCCATGCAAGCCGGCACCGGGTGCAAGCCAACAGTTACACACCTCGTAGACACCTCGCCACAAGCATGCCAGCCCAGACCAAATCTGTGTGCGACACCTCGAGCTAGCATTGGACTCCATGGCGCCGCCCAGAGCACCGTTCAATCCGGCATGGGCAGAGGCCGAATGTGTGGACGTCAGTGGGTAGTGGGTATCAGAAGGGCTGGAATGCGAAGAGTTCCTCTTGTTTGTCATGGTTGTCTCTTGCACCCCAGCAGAATTTGCAAGTTGAAGTCAGACAAAACACGGGAAACCGATCTCTGAATCATTTGCAGGCCCATCGACCAGCGGCATGTGACATCGTAAGATGAGGCTGGTCAATGGCCATTTCAAGATGTGGTTGTTGTTGCTGCTGCTGCGCAATTACGCACAGAGGCCTGGCAGCGAGTATACCGCTGCAGAACTTGCGCAACATGTTGCAGCCTCGGAGAGACCTCGCATAATGCGGACAGACTTCCAGATCTTAAAGGACTGCTCTTGCTCGAGGCTTCATCGGAAAGTTTATGGGTGGCCAGATGCACAGACTCAGAATGTATGTTCGAGTGGACCGTCCTACAGCAACTCCGTCCAGTTGATCACAGATATCCCAGCATGTGCTGACTGTATGCGGAGGTCATAGACTCGAACGTGTACGATGTCACGGAGTTTCGGACGATGCACCCTGGTGCCTAGCCTAAACTGCTGCACGTTGTGACTTCGATGTGGTGCATGCAGTCTAGTGCTGCGTCGGCATAGGTGGTGCGCAGATTTTGTTGCAGCATCTGCCTCAGCTGTGATCAGACCTCAAGCGAGGGGTTTGCAAACCTCGACTCGACTCAGGCATGGTGGATCAGATGCGACAGTTCCAGCTCAAGCTGCGCATGGGTCGAGCAAGAAGGCACGAAGCTTGATGCCACAAGCTCAGAGCTGCATGCAGGCTGCATGAGCTGTGCGTGGGTTGCAGAACTGCATTGGAAGGTCGAGATACTGCATTGGAAGACTTGCGGATGGCAGGGATGCTCAGAGTAGGACACAAGCGGCCCCAGTAAGCTCAGCCTGCATTGTGGCTGTTCTCCAAGTGCGTTGTTGCCTGTAAAGGTGAAATCGCTTCGGGCAACAAGGCATCAACCTGCGTTGACCGCCGAAGTGCATGTTGGTGAGAGCTTCAGAATAGACATGCCTTGATGCAGGCTCTCACTCCTGAGGAACTTGGCAACAGTGCCTTGAACGCATTGAGCAGCTGGAAGGATTTGCTGTACAACCTGTTATTGTCTTGACTTTGCAGGTTCTGATTACCAATACCAAGGATCCAACGACTCCGTTCAGGGTTGAGTAATTGCATGGTTTGTCGCCGATCATCTCTGATGAGACGTCTGGCCGTTTCTGGGATGAAGCAGTGGCAAGCACGGTGTTTCGACGTTCATCATCTCAGGGTTTGTTTTGCATTGGTGTGCAGTCCAGCATTTCTTCTTACGGTGTCGGTGTTTGGGAATCAGTCAGCCCCGTTAGGGTTCTGGTGCTGCCATACTCCTCTCTCATTAGGGTTTAGGGTTGGCCATCGAATGATGTCCTTTCACTTGCGTGTTCAATGCGTCCCACCCTCCACTTTTCAGCTGCTTTCATCGTAGTCGGTTGGTTCATCGGAAAGATTTTGGCTCGATATGACAATCGTAACAGCTCAGTGCATAATGTGCGAAGCCTACATCGTGTCAAATTGACTGTGGACATGATGAGTCAACGCTCATACTGAAGCAGTGATTCTAAATCAGATGGTTCCAACATGGAATCGACTGTAGAACGTCCGGTGCCTAACTTGACGGATTTTTTGGAGATAGCTCGATGTGCAAGTTCCTTCACTTGCCGGTGTTACATCGAATTGCTTTCCAGGGCCACTGATGTTTGCAAAACGGCATGCAAAAACCCTGTACTGTGGGCCCTATGGCCTCCCACCCTCCAGAAATTGGGGTTGACAGAGTTTGCCGCCCATCAGTTCTGAAGGGTGCTTCGCGTCGCCCGCCTCGACGCGGCTGCACACATATGTGCCGAATTGGTTGGAGGTGTTTGTCTAAGGTATGCGTCCGGAGCCTGCATCGCTACCCCCGTGAAAAGTTGCCTTGCTGAAAAGAGTTCTTGAGCCGACGTCTTGCAGGCCAGGCAGAGTGTACATGGGATTTGCTTCTGCGCAAATCCTCTGCAGAAAAGCACTGTACTCAAACCCCGAACCCTAGAAGCTGGAGTAGACCGAAACCTGCACCGGCGGTGGGGAGGGGAGCGGGAGGGGGGAGGGAGGAGGGGGGGAGGGGCACGGGGTGGGTGGGACTGCCCTACAAAGACCCCAATTCCATGGCTTTATTTTGGGTGGGGTCACTGACAAGGGGATCAAGAGGTGGGGAATGGAGGGACTCCGTGTAGGAACCTCTGACCGCTTCGGCCGGGGCCGAGGCGAATTTGTTCCATCCATGATTTCTTTTTGAGGTTGATAGGGTTTTCGGGTTTCGGGTTTGCCGCAGACTTTTCTTATTGAGGTTTATGGCCTCCACGCTGTCACTTTGAGGAGCATTCGTCACTTCCGTTGAAGGGTTAGAGTTTGCCGTCCTTCATCTAGTCTTATGCTTTGGGGTTTGGCATCCGTCACTATTTGCTTCTCTTGTCCAGGCATCCATCATTTCTTGTTCCTGTTTAGGGTTTGCCATCACCTACTCCTAAAGTTCGGGGTTTGCTAGCCACTATGTTGCTGAGTGCGTCCAATTTGACATGCATCACGTGTTTTTAGGAAGGTTTAGGATCCTGGGTCTGGTTGTCAAGCATCATGTTAGGGCTGAGAACCTGTGTAACCCATCAGCAGCTTCTAGGATTTTTAGGGTTTAGGGTCTGCGGGATGTCAGTGTCTTCCATCCACCATCTTGCTTTAGCTGTGCATGTCATTCATGACCCTGTGGCTGTCAATGTCAGCTCCTTGGTGCTAGTGATGGTTTTGCTCGCGTTTCGATGCTGTCGATGATGATGACGATCATAGCCGCAACACAGCCTGAACATGTGGTCGGAGTCGCTCTATAAGCTGTAAGCCAGAGGGACGCGTGCTTTGTTTCATCCGAATCTTTCCGTGACGAAAACGACAAGTACTGCTTCGACTCGCTTTTGGTCCTTGCCGGGATCCTCGAATTACCGCCTTTGCTCTCCCTTGACAACTTTTCACCCGTACTACGTTCTCAGCAGGCAGAGATGCTTGTCTGGCTTCCCAGCCTTTTGCGTATGTGTCGGTGTTTGAGCATGTGGATTGTGTTGAAGACTAGCTGACTAGCGGCACTGCGTATGACCCGATCCATCCCCATGCTGGAACTTGTGATCTAGCATCTCCGCTTCTGTCTTTGTAAACCCGAATGCTAGCTGCATCTTGTGGCCACCAGGCGCTGTTGCCACGGCTCCTGCAGTTCAGGCTCCGGGCAAGGCGGGAACATGCGGCACCACTATCTCATGGTGCTTTACCGTCACAGTCGGTTGTCACGAGGTCGTTGCTTTGGAGGACTTGTTTCAAGGCGCGGTGCCAAGACTGGCAAAGTTGTCTTCGTATCGAACATTCCGGGAAGCCGCAAGGTGAAGAGGAAACACGCCCATCCAGCAAGGCAGGTTCATGCTGCATACGGTTCCACTGGTCTGCATGCCTGCAGCTCTGACGTGAACTACAGGTGGTAGCTTTGGAAGACCTGGGAAATAGCTCGGAGCAAAGACATCGGAGTCGGAGAGTTGAGAGTTCAAACTGAAACTCCGTCTTCTGTCAAAGTTGAGGCCACCAGGCTTCGAAGCCTCGGAAGGCCCAGGAAGCCAGGTGTTTGAGCACGTGTGCAAAGCTGACGCGCTGTGGTAAAGGTCGTTGCATTAGAGGACTTGGGCCAGCAGCGCCTTGCACCCGGAGCTCCGACGGTGCCATGCAGCATGTCGTAGACTGCAGAGCCATCAGGCGAGATGCCTCCGCAACCCAAGCCAGCGAGCAAGGCCCAAATCATGAGGAGTCTTGTTTCAGACACCTCCGACGGGATGCAGGTGGTCGCCTTGGAGGACATTGGCAGTGCCTCGCTCGGTGATGCCTGCCCTTCCTCGACGGATCCTACTTCCTTTGTGATTTAGAATCTAGATGTCTAGAGTCAACGAGGGGGTCTGCAACTGAATCCATCAATCTAGTTGTCTATCTTCCATTGTGTGAGCTGCCGGTGTGAGCTGGTCAGGTGATTCGCCCCCGCGCAGTGCGCGGAAGGTCCGAGGAATTTCAGGAGGCACGAGGCGAGGCTGCCACGACTCGTGGCTCCCAGGTCGTTGCCCTCGAAGATCTCGCAGACGGCGCATCACTGAGCCGCCAAATGAGAGAGGGACATCTGATCTTTTCCGCATTCCGTTCAGGTCAAGCAGTGGTCCGACCCAGCAAGGCCCACATTGCCCACGTCTCACATATTCTCATAGCTTCGGCTTCATGCCTATTGAGGAAGGAGCTTCTGTGCAGGTGCCGACGTTCAAAGAGCCAACTTCAAGCAATCGTCTCAGCTCGACAGCTGCCACCCGGGCCAGAGCCTTTCAGAATTCTGGCAGGCGGGAGCCAAGAAGCCTCTGACGAAGGCGGAGAATCTGGAGAACTAGTTTCTGCAGCAGATCTGGAAGAGGAGGCCTGAGCACCGAGTGTCGCGTCAAGAAGAAGTTGTGAGAGCAACAGCGGGATATGAGTGATTCTTGGGTTTCGGAAGATTGGGCTGGAAAGGACTGGAGGGCACGGCTGTCAGATATTGGGTTGCTTGGGTGATGATCCTCTGACTCCGGAGGGTCATCTCCGAAAAACTACCAGGAATTCCAAAGACTGAAGAGAAGAAAGTGTCGAAGCAAACCAGGAAACCTCGACTGCTGAATATGTCGTTCGGCGGGACATGAAGCCGTAGAAGCTAACACCTGCATCAGTGCTGTTGGTGCACCTCTTGCCATCATTCTCTGAAGGGCTTCGCTGTCCAAAGATGCGAAGCTGCGACGAAACGATATAGCATATGCTGATGTAAACCTGCAAAGTCATCGCAAACGTTCTACAAGCAGGTTAAGACTGATACAAAGCTGGCTCAAACTGATTCCAACAGGCTGTTGATATCTGTTGATTGGACGGGAAGGGCAAATTTGCAACTGTCGCTCGCACGCAAAATTAAAGCGAGTCATGGCACAATTTCACACGGCTGCAAGACCGCAAAACAGAAATGTTCCAGCGAAGCTCTTGGCTCGGCGTGGTTGTGGCTTGCCCCATACCCGCAGATGCACATGGTTTATGTCTAGGTTCCACTATCTTATGAAGGTTCTCCCTCCAGAGCCCCAGCGGCCTTCCCAAGATTCTTCCTGTTCTTTGGTCAGTATTCCCTCGGGCAAACCACAAGGCCGTGCAGTCGTTTGAATTGGTGGCTGCCGCTAACCAGTCATTCCTGTGAAGTTTCAAGGCAGACGGACCAAAGCAGAAGCAATACAAACCATAAAGCCGCATGCCAAATCCACATCCGAAAACACCTTAGGGCACAAGTCCACGCAGATGCTGTGAGTTTGCTTCAGTAAGCCGGATATTTGATGTCTGAGGCCAACAATGCTGCTCGCCCGTGTCTCACGCAGTTCACAGCGAGCAGCTGCACGTGTGAGTGGAATCTTTTCGAGGATGCAGTGAATGTGTGCAAAGGCATCAAGCTGCTGTTGGACAGCTGGGCCCTTGCTAACAAAGTTGAGGACAGTCACAGTTCTGATTCAACTCGAGCCGCTTGTATCCGCTGGTTCTCGCCGTGCTAGAAGCTGGGCAGGACGAGGTAGACACACAAGCAAAGGCAAGGATGCATAGGACCGGATGTGCTTAAAGCGCAATTGCACTGCGCTTCTGGCGGAGAGGCCGACTCGCCAGAAGATGAGGACTCCTTGGAGATCGCCGACGAGACGCAAAATCAGGTCATGGCCATTGCTGGCAAATGCAGACACTCTGCATGCAAGTGTGCGCCCATAGGCTCCAAAGAAGAGCAGATGGGCAGCTGGCTTACTTTTTTGGGCTTCGATTTCGAGACTCCATTAGTAAGGTAGCCGGTGAAACCGCAAGCGCAGGCAAAAATGAAAGACTGGGGAATGCAACGCAGCATGGAGTTCAAAGGCCAGAGTAGGGCCTCTTGACCTTAGAACATCGTCTGCTCACAGAAACAGGACGCAGAAGTGGAGAGCAAGCTTCGCATTCCATGGAAGATGCGGATCAAGAAAAAGAGGAAACGGCCGCGGCCCCAATTCCAGGTGGACTCGCTCGAAGTTGTGGAGTGCTCATTCTGAGGTGCAGAATCTGCTGGGCAGCAACGTGTCGCCCTCAGCAGGACGATTCAAAGATAGACGTGACAACAAGCTTGATTCCGGACAGGTTCCTGCAACGTACGGTGAGATGTTCGAATTCAATGCCACCGTTATGGGTTTCGGGAAGCACAGATGGCTGCGAGAGGCCAGCCAACAAGACCAAGAATTTGTAAGGGATTGTTTCCATGTCTATGAAGCAGGTCAACCGATCTTTTCATGACATCGTCAAGAACGCTGGCAACTCTTCTCGCCTGCAGGAAGAATGCGAGGTTCAGTGGGCTGCATTGAGCCATGTTAGTTTTATCTTGCCTTTCTGTCTCTCAGGTACTGGCTTTACGCATCTGTAAGACAGCCGTGATCCGAGCCTGAGAGTGCTGCCTGTTGCTGGTTTGATGTGCAGCAGACGCAGGTGGACGGGGACGTGAATCTCTCCATGTATCGGTCGGTGCACCTGTCAAGTTTGTGAGCCGTCTGCTTTTCAGGCTACGCACGCTGCAAGCTACACATGTTGAAAAATCGGGAGGCCATGTTGGCAGCACTTCGGTCCATGCTTCCAAAGGCCCGCTGGAGCGTGTCCACAAGCCGTGAACTCGCCTGCGAAGCCGGTAGACCGGTCTTGACAGACCTGGGATCCCAATCACGAGACGGTTTGGAATTGGCTGTGGGAGAGCGCGTGCATCCCAACCGATAGTTACAGTTACTGTTCTCCAGCATCTGTAGCCTTTGTTCGGTGATTCGCCAAGGTTGAAGTTGAAAGCAACCTCCGCCAAATTCTGTACAAACCACGTGCGTGGGAGTGTAAAGCTGAGCGATGTGTGCGAGAGGAGCGCCACTGCAGAAGGAACAGTCCCTGCTTCTCTATCTCATTTTAGCCTGCAAACGAGGCCTGCGCTCCTTCGACTGATGTCACTGTGGTCAGAGGCCTTCAGCAAGTCTTTTGTTGGGACCATCCGTCGAATGCCGGGCCTGTGAGGACGAGAAGATCGCGCTGCGCAACGAAGTTTATGTGCGCTTCTTCCAGGTGGCCCCGCAGGGTCAGGACTGAAGTGATATGGTGCTCAGACCAAGGTCTCTCTTTGTGACTCCTTCCTCCTTCGTTTCAATTTTTTGAATATTCCCCCCCTCTCTCTCTCTCTCTCTCTCTCGTACGTCCCCTGCAATCTACAAGAAGGTTGCAGCACCCACACCATGGTTTGGGGTTACATGCCAAGCTGCCCCTTCACCCACATCCCCGACCCATTCCTCCACCCTGGGTACTACCCCCCCCCCCCCCCCCCCCCCCCCCCCCCATACCGCCCCCCATACCCACCCCCAGTCGCGCACCAAATCACCTGCCCCCCACCCATGAATGCATGCTTATTGATCTGCTGAAACTCTTACTTGCTTGTTTGCATTTTTGTCAAGAGCTGCTCTCGAAGGAATTCTTCAAGCAGTCGGACACGAGGCTGCACTTCATCGCGACACGGGCCATGGACATGACGCCCGCGGCTTGCGTTTCCATCAGCTACCTTGAGCACCTTGAGCACCTTGAGTTTGAAGCTGTGTCTGAATATGTCTGAATGTCGTGTGAGAGGTCTGAGCTGCTGGCCGATCCTTGGGAGATGGCCGGCGGCCTTGTCGAGGTCTCTTAGACTCAGTGATGCTCAATGCAACTCACCCTTCAGACCGAGCAGATCTCTGCCCTTGGTTTGCGCCATGTGGGCATCAGCCTCATCTGCAGCGCGCACGTGTTCGGATGCTGACACATGCCCTCGAGTTGCACATGAAGGCTACGGAATTCCGACACATCTCATCGGCCCTTTCGCAAACGCTTTCGTGGAGGACCGCAGTCGCACTGCGCCATGATGTGCCATGCGCTTGCCTTGGTTCGTCGTAGAAGAGGTTTTGTGCGAAGCAGCACCCGAAGAGCATGAAGCACTAGAAGCCTTCAGGCGATCGCAAGTGACAAACAATGGAGCAAGTGCATGGCAAGACTTCATCGGCAGGTGGTCGGTCGTGCTGGTGGCGAAGATTCTGGTCCGAGTCATCGAAGAGGGCGCCACGATTGCGGAGACGCTCAGCATTCGGTTAGCTCTTGACCCTCGAATTTCAAGTTGCAAGTTTGAGTTCGAAGGTGATGAAAGCAATTAATGCAAACTCGGCCCTGTGTTGCCGGCATGCACTTGGGACCTGTGCGCCATGTCGCTCGCCAGCTAGAATTGTCAGCCTTGCCTTCAGGCAGCTCAGAAAGGCTGTGGCATTAGCTCCTCGTGGAGAGCGTGCCCAGTGGCTGCCAAGCTCTGAGACTGAACATGCCAGTTTTTCACAGCACTGCGGCGTGCCGTGGTGATCATGCTGACGAAGGCTGCGCATCCAAGTCGGGACACAACAGATCTCTCCGCTGCAGGGCACTGAATCTGACTTCAACAGCATTGTGTTAAGTAGACGTTGGCGGTCAGTGCGTGCAGCGTGCTGTCTACAACTGGACCTTCTCCATGAGCATTAAAAGTGGTTTGTGGTCAACCTTGTGACAAGCCCTTGAAGCCATGGAATGGCACCAGGATGGCACTGACACCGCGTTTTGTCCTTGCTTGCAGCGGCTACTGTTACATGGAGGTGTGAGCATGCAGCATACCAGTTGAAATCAATGCGAAAAATCGTTTCTGCCACTGCCGCTGCATCTTGCGCCGCTTTTTAACTTCACACACGGCTGACCCCTGTCACGAGCACGCAGAGCCAAACTTCAGTACAGCCTCGCGGGCTTGTAGACCTTGTGATAGTCACCCGGACTGCAACCTCCCCAACTCGTTAGCCTGATCCCGTTCGTAAGTGATATGTTCACGAAGTCTGCGCGGTGCATGACCCGAACTCACCCCGCTCTGCAAGTCACTGAGGTCTTGGGCTATCGAAAGTGGCAGTCTTGAGGCTGCGCGTGCAATGATCCAGGCAGGCGACCAGTAGTGAGGTGCCCAGGATTGCGACCTGAGACCTGAATCTGCCCAGGACCTGCTTACGATAAGAGCTGACCGAGAGAGGTATTACTTCGGAGTTGCTTGGCGTGTGAGTTTACCAGAATGCGGCTGGTCCTTGGGAAATCTTGAGGTTGATGCTCTTTTCCAAGCTCATGGGGACATAGTGGAGCGGCTCTGTGCAGATGTCGCAGCCATAATTTTGACGGCTACTGCGGATGGTGCGAGATGCGGCCTGCTGCTTGGCCCGGCCGGCTTCAGGCCCTTCAGCTGTTGCCCGCACTTCTTGACGGCCTGGTTTGGCGCTCCAAACGCGCAATCAACGGCGCCAGGCTGGATTCGCACAGGATGCAGGAACTTGCTTGGCTTGGCTTACTCGGATCAAGATCTGTCGCCAGGCGAGTGAACTTCTACATGAAGCACCTCGTTGTGAACAAGGATCCTGTCTGGGTGCGTTTACGAACACGGTGCTGCGCTACAGCCCTTGAGCCTTGAGCTGCTTCGTCCATGTCTTGTGGCCTTCGATTGGCGGGCAAGATTTTCGCAGGATGGTGCATTTTCGGCTGCACTCAAGGCCATCGCGGATGCAAAGGCAGCCTGGTGTAATCTCGGCATCGGCAGGCTTGCTCTTGATGTGTGGATCTCGTCCGCCCTGTTGCAGCTTGCCAGGATGTCAAGATCATCTCCCACCAAGTGGTGGTGCAGATTTCTGACACCTTGTGGCGCCGACCTTGAGTCACATCTTACCACGATGGTCTGTGGCATGCACTTTTGCACCCCATTCCTTGTCATGTGGAGAAGCAAGGCTTGAGTCCTGAGGTCAGGCGTCGTTCGGCGACAGTTCACGTTCTCCAAGATAAGCTTTTTGCACTGTGCCTAGCCCACTGAGTCAGCATTTGTCTTTTGTGTCTGGCAGAGCATGCAATGCCATGACGTGAGGTTCAGCCTCGTCGTCTTCATGCTTAGCCAGGCGATTCTGCCAAAAACTGAAACAGCAGAGGAGCCGGAATCTCAAATGTTCAGGGTTTGCATAGGTATCTTATGTTGGCATGTTCGTTAGCAGGGCGTGACTGGAGTGTTCAGTCTCAGGTTCAACATGCGGATCGCAATTTTCAGTGGCCGCTTGATAAACTATGCCTTCAGCCCGGGACCTAGTGCTCGCTCTTTTTGTACTGCTTCTTCTAGTACCGTGGGCTTCCTTGTCGGACAGTCCTCGGTTTTGTGCTTCATTTTGCGCTTGTTTCTTGGAGGTATGGCACGGCTTCTGGTCTTCCATCTGCGCCGGATCGTGAAAGCATTCCGCACGGGAGCGACAATGAAAGTGGGACGAGTGTGCGCGGCTTAACATGTCTGCCCACGAAGTCAGACAATGTGGACATAATAGCGTGGTAAGCGATTCGGGATGCTTCACTGAGGCCCATCCCAGAATACCTGAAAGATGAGGATGCCAAATTGTGCCTGCCACAGAGTCAGCGTGAGCGAGCGCTGGACGTGCTGTATGCAGTCTGTCTGTGCCAGGGGCTTCATCTTGCTTTGCATGCTTGTCGCCATGTGTGCAAGTGAGCCCGGCCCTCTTCGGTTCTGCTGCCTCGCTGACTCTCAACAGCTCAGCACGACGTGGATTGAGGCCGATGTTCTACTGTGCACCAGACATCATGACGACAGGAGGGTTGGTGATCTCTCTTTCCAGTCCAAAGCCTTGCACCCTGGCATCGGCTTGTCCTGTGGGTGTAAACAGTCGGAGGTCGAAATTGCAACCCGTCAGAATGAAAGGTTGACCTCGAACATGACTTCAGGCCAGACTTCCGAAAAAAAAAACCCGCACGCGTGCTCGGCCCCATCCTTAACGGAGTGGGCACAGAGGAAAGCCGGATTACAACTTGGTTTCGCACACTTTCATGAGTCGCAGACTTGGGAATCCCATATCCGCATCGGTGCACATCACATCCCCACTGCCAAAAATCGTTGAGAAAATCACTGACCGATGTTCGCTGTGGCGAAAGAAGCATGGAATGTCATTTGCAGTTTGCTCAAGACAGCGCACTTTTCCATGGCAGAGAGAGAGAGAGTAGCTGTCCTATCTTATCCTACCGATTTTGTCCTGATTCGTCCTATTTTTGGTCTTTCGAATTGCAGTCGCTGAGGGAAGCTGCGCTTAACTAGAGCATTCAGTGCCGAGGGCATGAGATTGCAACTTGCTCACCCCCCAACAGTCGGGGGCGCTGACGCGCGCGGTGTAGAGGGAAACCTCTGCACCATAACCCTGGCGAAAGAAAGAGTAGCCGACTGCTCCTGCCCTACACCCCGAGCAAAGCAAAGAGAGAGAGTAGCCATTTTGGCTCAAGCTGTGAGTGGTTCAAGGCTGAGCCCAGAAAGTCAGGAAAGCCTCCAAACTCAGGGTCAGAGCAAAAGGGGGGAGGGAAAGTGACCGATGTCCTCCCTACTTCCTTGCAGCTGTACGCGCCTCCATCGGCACTGTTCGGTACTGCGAGATAGTAGGGGACAAACCAGCAGGTGATCCTTGCGCGGTCCTTTCGGAACTTTGTCACTCCTCTTCCTGCGGGGGATCGGCGAAACCTACAGGCCTACAACGTGCCCGCAGTGATCTGCCGCACCATCGTCGCTGGGTGGGGGACTCGCACACTTACCTGTTCGTGATACTTCCTCGGCGACACCAAGAACCAAATCCTCAACCATGGCGCCTGGACAACAACAGGTCACAGAACGCATGGAGGAAGACGCCCCAGAAGAAGAAGGCAAAGATGGATCTCCACAAAAGCGGGGGAGAGTGCAGGAACAACCGCTCACCTTGTCGATGCTCAAGGAAGTCCTGGCGGCAGAAAGACAAGCTGATCGCCATCACCTTGCTGAAAACTTGGAACGGATGCAGGGGGACTTCCGCGACATGAGAAGCCGTGTGGACAGTGTGGAGAAGGGGGTCACAATACAAATGGAAATTACCATGGGGATGCTTACCAAAATCACTGCCAACTATGATGAGCAGGCGAAGGCCATCGGGCAGGTGCAAGCAGAGCAGAAGTCCATTCAGCAGCGCCTTGAACAGCTGGAACAAAGGCCCCAAACCTCGACGGCGGGGAGTACAGCGGATACAGAAGGGGGAGGAAAACAGCCGGCACTCATCCTTGGGGGATGGCACCCAGAGCAGGCTGCTGAGGAAACACTACAGGCAGCAAGAGACCTACTACGACGACTTGAGGTGCCGCTCGATGTGGGGGATATGTTTGTTCCCGGCTTGCGCCGGGGATATGCAATTATCCCTATCAGACAACGGGGGATGGTGACAGAAGATGAACGACGCAGCCGAGTACAACAAACAATTCAGCGAGTTCGCAACGCGAACATAACCACAGGGAAGGACTCACAAGGGGGGATGAGGAAGCTTTGGATTGCGCTCTCTCAGAGCCCTGAGCGCCGCCGCAGAGCAAAGCTTGCCGGAAAAGTGAAGCGCACAATATTGGAGATGGGTGGCGATAAGGGGAGCATGGAGGTTGAGTTCGCCACTGGCACCGTCTGGATGGACACGCTCAAAGTGTGCAGCGCTACAGCAGAGAAACCCAGGGGGGCGGAGTCAGTGGGGGCAGGATGGATCGACCTGACTACATTGGCGAAAGCCATGAGGAGAACCAAGCAGGAAGTGGAGGCAGCCTGGGAACCCCGCAAAGCGGAGCTCCTGTGAGCCAAAGACCACCTCAACGGCAAGTTTCACCGTACAGAACGAGGGGATACTCCTCGACAACTCCGAGTGGCCTCATGGAATGTGGGGGGACTCACGGCAAAAAAGATGCTGGAGCTCTCCCACCACTTCGTGGGGGACGCGAACTTTGAGGCAATACAAGTCCTGTTGCTGCAAGAGATCGTCACAGATGTGGGGATATGGTTTCACGAGCACAATGGCTGGGTCATAGCCTTTGGAAAGAACGAGGGAGACTGGAGGGGGACTGGCATTGCATACAAAACATGCCACTTCAAACACAGCAACACCAACCTACTACCGGTAGGTATCGCAACCACACTCACCAACCACACCGGAACAAGGGGCATTCGCTTCCTGTCGGGACATCCCCCACCACGCTACAATCCCACAAACACAAGCCTACATGGGGGGATGGAGCCACACGCTGTGCAAAACAAGGGTGGTGGCTGGTTTTGACGCCAACGAGACCTTCACGGACATGGATGGGGAGGGATGGAGGTCTCACACAGGAAGAGGGGAAGCCGTTCTCTCTGAACTCCATCACAGGGGAATGAGTACACCTCCACAGGACCTACCAACACCTACCTACCACCCGTACAATCCAGCCCAAAGAACAAGACGCCTGGACTACGTGGTTATCAGAGGAGTACACAGCACGCAAGGGGGGGTTCAGGAGGGCAGCCGGCACCTTGCGAAGTCAGACCACGACCTGGTTTGGGTGGACGTACAGAGAGGAGCACCGCCAAAAAAGAAGCAACCAACTTGTTGGGCGAGGAGATACATACAAAAAGCAGACCCAGCAGCAGCGACAGCCGCACCACCCACACAGACAGACACCCACCAGGCGCTTTCCCGGATCGCGCAGCAAATAACAGTCCCAGGACGACAAACCAACAAATACCAGGAAAGTGCAGCACTCAAGCACTTGCGCAGACAGGCAAGGGAGGCACCACCACACCAAGCAAGAGAAGCATGGAAAGAAGTCACCAAGTTGCGGCAGACCGAGTTGCGAGCCTGGCACAAGCGGTTGGTGGATCAAGCCAGTGCGGCCAACTGGGGGGCGAAGAGGGCCCTGGACTACCACCACCATCGCAAAGGGTGGGAGCACCGTCTGCTGGACGACCCACAGTGGCAAGCACACCTCAAGAACCACTTTCAGGGAATCTTTGCAAAAGAGCCGGCGGAACGCACAGCCAGGCGCTTGGGGGACACACGCAAGGCGTTGACCTACCTTTGCAAGCAGACAGAATGGGCCCCCTTTACCAAATGGGAACTCCAGCTGGCCACCAGGACATGGAAAAACGGGAAAGCAGCGGGGCCGGACGCCATAACACACGAACTCCTGCAGCTCTTCATGAAGCAACCAGCATGGGAAAATAGAATCCTCTACATGATGAACGACTTCCTTTACCGAGGCGAAATACCACAATCGGTCCTCAGCGGAGTGACTGTGCTCCTCCCGAAAATAGCGGGGGATCCGTCATCGTGGGGAGACACGCGCCCTATAACGCTGAGCTCTTCCATTTTGAAATGGTTCTAACAACTCCTGCTTCTACGTGGGGGGAGAAGAATTCAAGAAGGGGCACCACTTCAGTGGGGGGGAACTGGCAAACAAGCGCCTGAGCTCTTAGTTGTGCTGAGACGTGTCGTGCGCCATGCAAAAGACTGGGGGATTCCTACCTGGATTGTCAAATTGGACGTACGCAAGGCGTTCGATAGCGTGTGCCAGGAAAGCATGGGAGATGTGGTTGCCGAGAAAGTGGGGGGCTTGAAACATGGTGGGGGAAGCATGCTCAATGGAATGCCTTGGGAGGCCAGAGCATGGCTAAGCCTCTTAGAAGCGCGAGAGGTACGCATTTCGATGGGGGATGTTCTGACAGAGATTCCACAGACCAATGGCGTTAGACAAGGCAGCCCAGACAGTCCAGCGCTTTTTGGCAGAGTGGCCTCCACAAAGCATTACAAACAACACAACATCTCCTACCACCACCACAAGGCCCGCCACCCCCACAATCTGGGGGATCCTTTATGGATGATACCTACCTATGGAGTCATGATGCAGCCCATTTGCAAACATCGCTAGCAGAGCTCGAAACCAGACTGAGGAGACATGGCCTCACCATCAACCCAGGCAAAACAGCGGTTATATACAGCCTCAAGACGGGGGGAGGAAGTTTCCGCATCAGTGGGGAACAAGTGGGTTGCAAACCCTTTGGGGAAGTCATCACAGCGCTTGGATCCCCAATTACATTTGGAGAAGAGGTGGCGGCAATTATCTCCGAAATGCAACACAGGGGGAGACGCGCATTCCACAAACATGCCAAGCTACTGTGCGCACCTACGTCGCTGGAAAGGGAGAATCAAGCTACAGCAAACACTGGTGAGGGGGGGGGCATTGTGGGGTTGCGAGTCTTGGTATGTCACTGACTCAATACTCAAACGCCTGGCACATGCAGGCACCGCGGGGGAGTGAAGAGCCGGGGGAAAGCAGCAGCGCCACCGCAGCCGCGCCCCTACTCAACGATGCGGACTTCCTGCAACGAGTACTACAAGACCTAGACGAAGAGGCGGGGGAAGTCGCGGTGGAGACGGAGGATTTTGACCTCGAGAGTGCCAATACTGCAGTGTACGCAGCGGGCAGGCGATGGGCAGCAGGGAGACAACCACGAGTGGTCAAAAATCGCACCAAGCAAAGGAGCTGAAGGTGAAGTTCCCGCAGAGAGCCAGGGGAAAGGCATCAGCGAGCCAATCCCAGGCCACAGGGGGACCAGCCACGCCCTCTTCGCTCACACAGCAGGTGTTGAGGCTGGCCCGTGAGGGGGACACCGCTGAGACAGAGGAAAGAGGCCAGCCGCGCCAGACTGCGACAGCCAGAACCTTCCCGGCTGGGGGGAAGCCGGAACGGCCGCCTCTTAAAAGAAACCGCGGCTACCTGAGCGATGAGTGAAGGTGAGTGCAGCGTAAGCTTCCGACTACTGCCGGGGGGAAGGCCAGTGTCTGTGTGCTGTTGCTTGTTAGCTTGATGTAAGTGCATGTCTGCTGTGTTTCGGGGGAGTCAGTTGTCAAGCCAGAACCTCGCGCAGTTTGCTGTAGCTGAAGTAAAACAGAGTGAGAAGCTTCCTTTCAAGCCGAAGCTTTGGGGGGAGACAGACACCTCCCTTTTTTCCCCAAACGGGGCATCGGGACCTCAGCCAACAGTTGCGAGACCTTTGGAAGACCGGAGTACAGATGAGGCGCGTTGGGGGAAACTAGTGTTCAGCGTTTTAGGGGGATTCAACGGTGCAAAGAACGCGGCCCTCAACCGGTTAACAGTTTCACTGCCAAGACCACGGACCCGGTGCGCACACGTGCGCGGGAGGGGCGCCTGCTTCTCCTTGTCCGAGTGCAAGCAAGAGAGCCATTTTGGCTCAAGTGCTGCACCTTTGCCTGGAGGCCTGTGCCGCCTCCTGGCATCTAATAAGGAGTTTTGCAGCAGGCGACATGGTAAACCTAAAGCGCCCTTAAACCCTGAGCCTGAAGCCCCTTAAACACCAAACCTAATCACCGAAATCCTCAACCCTAAACTACATTAAATCCCCGAAACCCGAAACCTAAAGCCCCTGAAACCACTAATCCGACCCTAAAGGCCCTTACTGAAACCCTACAGGTAAGTAATGTGCTTGACCCCAGACGCGTGAAGCTACTGCCAAGTTTTGGGAACTAGTTCCTTCAACCCCAACCATACAAAACATCGAATATAACTTTTATATAACATAGGAAAACGGTTCAAGTTTCAGGCTCAGGGTTTAGGGAGCCCTAGGGGTTCAGGGCTTATGAGTCCAGAGCTTATAACGGTCTTACGCTTAGGCTTAGGGTTTATGGGTTTCAAAGTGCAGGGTTCGAGTCCACATATAGGCCTATAGGGCATTAAAAAGGGCAAAGAGCGATTCCCCTCTTCATTTCCTTCGGGATGCTGTCTCTGTTTGACTCATTGTCTATGACATGCCCAAAAGCGCTTAACGCAGGGCCACATTTTCCTTTGTCGTCATTTAGACGACAGCAGCATGCTAAGCACACCATGACAAATGACACGATGATCTCAGTGTTATACTTTTTATGACTCTATAATCGAGTATGTTCCCGGTGCCGCCATGCCACTGCCGTTGACGATTCCATGCATGCCGCTGCATGCCGAATGCCGCTACATTTGGACTAGGAAAAACATCCCGGAAGGCTCAGGGGCTGAGCCTTCTATTCCATCTTCATTCTCTCTTCGGTGTCAGATAGACTGTACTCTTGCATCGATTGTCTCCCAGTCGACGATACCCGGGGGGGAGGTGCGGGGTTGACCCAATGCTGTCCACCTTGGGGAGCCTGCGCACTTACCCCAGTGGTGCTTGAGTCCCATACCCGACGCCACACTACTTAAGGGAGTCAAGTTAGTTCCAGGGGGGACGTGCCATAGAGTTGACCGGCACGAACGTGATACTACCCGCGCGCCGAAAACCTTGTGACTGCAAGAACCTGCTCCTGGACGCTTTTGAGTCGAAGGGGGACGTGAACTGCGCCAACGACATTCGGGACAGGACCAACGAGCATCGCAAGACCAACCCCTACGTTGGGCGGGGGACCTTCAGTTCCGGAAGATCGTGACTGTGGCAAGGTCGAGAAGATAGTGAAGATCATGGGGAAGCGAGGGGGAGGCAAGAAGATCTGCAGAATTTTCAGAGAAGGCGGAGGACTGTGTCAGCCAGGCATGCGAAAGGTGCACGAACGCTCCGATTCCCAATGCCGTTTTTTCGGATCGGAAGCACGGGGGAATAGACCACTGGTGTGGTCCCATGACAGAGCCACAGCAAGCCAGCCACAACATGGTGAAGGGGAAGGTCATGGCCGCAACAAACGTCCACAGGTACTCTTTGAGCACATGACAGCTTACGTGACTCCAGGGGGGATTGCGTTGCACTACCTACCAGGACCGCTCGACAAATGGGCGAAATGTGACGTGGTCAGAAACCAAGAAGGAGGGGGATGGTGCCACAGCCCCTCTGGGCAGCCCTTGACCAGAGGGGAGAACGACGAGCACGAGCAGTTCCACAAGAGGCACAAGGCTAGATACCGTACGGCCAGGCAAGCCGACAAGTTGGCAAAAATCGCCGACAAATACCTCCCGGAGATTGCTCAGGAAACGCGTGCCTACATGATCCGCTTCCCGGGGGAGATCCAAAGACTCTTGAGCAAGGCCCGCCGCATACGCCACTCGATAAAGGCAAAGCGGAAGGACTCCAACCAGAGGGGGAGTCGCTCATCCAAGGCAGTTACCAGACAGCAGCCAAAGAAGCTGGGGGAACCAGCAGATGAGAGAAGGGAGGGGGCGAGGAGCCACAAAGCCCCGAGCACAACAACTGCCACAACAGCCACCGTGCAGGAAGAAGTGCAGCGACGAGAGCCAGAACCCAGTGAAGAAGTGGACTGGGTGAGTGACACACCAAGCGCAGAGGCAAGGGACAGTGCCACCGAAGACGGGGACCAGAACCCAGGCGAGCTACCACAGGTGCCAGGGTGGCATAGGCCAAACGAGCCGGAGGGCGAGCCACCACAGAGGAACCGCCTTGGTGCAGCACGGCCAAACGAACCGGAAGGCGCACCGGGGGAGAAAAGAGTGCGACTGACTCCCAATGTGCAGTGGCAAGTGCAACAAGTGCAGCAGCATATGCAACGCCACGGCTACCACGTGGGGGAGAGAGAGAACGCGCAGAGTGAAAGCACCGTGGACTACTAGCAGTGAGTGACGTGTGGGGATTTTTCCGATTGCGAGACGCAACCGTAGCTCTTCAAAATGGGGGAACCGACCAGCGTGATGTGATGTGTTTTTGTCGGGTTCCCGTTCCTTGCCGGGGGAATGCATGCCGTTGTTGTTAGCCAAGGTTCTAGCTCAAAGCAGCCACCAACAAGATGCAACCAGCTACTAATTCAATACTATGCGCCGCCACTCTGCGGCGTCTGTTCCGAACGCTACCGCTAACTCAGTGCTCCGCTCATAGCCCAACGCAACCTAGAAAGGGGAAATTCAACCGGCGCTTTTACAGCGGGGGGCTCCTACCCAGAAGTCGTTACTGCACTGGTCCTTGCTTTACGTTTGTGGCCAACAATGACGGGGGGAGCACCGCCCAGTACACACTCCACTTGCATCATACTGGTCCTATGTTCCTGCACTGCTTCGTGCTCAGATGTTGCTTGATGTAGTGGGGGATAGCTTCCAGACGAAGTAAGGGGACGTGCGCCTGTCGAGGGACCCAGGATTGTGCTTTAGTGAGTGCGGAGATGAGGCCGGGACGCGCGATAAAGTACAGGGAGGGTCGGGTTACCGAGACAGGCGCTCGACACCTTTCAAAACCGACCACTTGGGCACAAGCCCCGAGCAACTCAGCCCCAATGCCCCTTCCACCTTCGCATGGGGGAAGGGGGCGCCTAGGCGCGGGCTTCGCTGAAGCCTAACCCCTGTGAAGTGAAGTGAAGTGAAGTGAAGAAACAGAGGGAGAGCGAGAGAGAGAGGCGGGAGCACTGCTCCCGCTCCTAGCCCCGAGCAAAGCAAAGCAGAGACCCCATCCAGTCAAAGTGGCGGGTTGGGGCTGCTCTTTCGGGTGGGTCCTGCTCCTCACGCCCCAGAGCAAAGCAAAGTAAGTAGGCTGCTACATCGCTGTGGGTTCAGTCGGGCGTGGTGCTGAAGAGATGAGTGTGGCAGCGTAGCCGACTGCACAGCACGAGCTGGGGCGAGGCCACAGCCGTGTATCTAGTGACTGTAGTACGAGTACCATAGGGATGGTAGAACACGCCTGCCGCCGGGGTAGACATCCTGCATCTCCATACTCACCGAGGTCGGTGCCAGATCCCATGAATGATGTCAGCGTGCAGTGCATGTCACAGAGTGTTGTCAGCTTGCTGTGCATGTTGTGAACCGGGGCGGTGCAATGAGAGCCATCGTGAATATGTCGACAGCTCCAGACCGGTTTTCGGGGCGTGAGCAAGAATACAATCACTTAAGTTTACCTTCGCGGACTTCACAATATGGGGTACCCTCAGTGAAATACCAAGCTCAGTGGAGGGGATCAGACATCTGTCGCATGTAATACCCTGCATCCCTGCAACATCGGGCAGCTCCCGCGGGGGCGTGCCCTCAAGCCTGGGGAAAGACAGAAAGATAGGCAAAGTTCACGGTGTTTTCCGGTTCAGGCCAGCGCACAGTTCCAACAGGGGGGTCTCACAAAGGACGCAAGACCTGGTTCGCTCAAGCGCGGGAGGGGTTCGTTTCCTCCTGGGCTGATTGCAAGCATGCACTTGTGGGCGACAACGCTCCACTATAGCCCTGGCAAAAGAAAGAGAGCACTCGTGTGCGGGTCGGGTCGCGCGCCCTGCCTTGGCCTTGTGCAAGCAAGAGAGAGATAGAGAGATACAGCAAGGCCAGAGAGAGAGATAGAGAGCAAATTCACGTTGAACGCACTGTCTGGGCCTACGTGACGGGAGTGGAGGGGGGCTGTCCTGGCCGGGCCTGTGCTTGGGCTCTGGGCTGCCGATCTGGAAGGAGCTTGTGCGGATGGGGTCGGATTGCGAATGCGCAGCATATGCGCAGCGTGGAGGCGTCAGCCACTGAATCTCAGTTCCTTGCTCAAAGCTCTCAGCGTCTTGGGCCCGCGTGCCGACGGCGCTCTTCTGGGCTCTGGCTGTCCCTGGACTCCGACTTTTCGGGCCTCGGGCCTCGGGCTCGATGCCTGCCTTTCCTACATCTTCCAGCCTCGAGCCCGGCTCAAGCACCCCCCGGGCGGTACGTCAAACTCGACCTGAAGGGCGGCGAACCCAAGGTCGGAAGCTCCTTCTCCCGCCCATGGGGCCAGTGGAGCTGCCCCTTCCATAACCTACCAGCCGAAGTTAAATAACCTCGTGCTAGTCACATGTCAGCAATCTTGACAGGACCCAGTGAGACCTGTGCAGTGTGCTCAGCCTTGCCGCCGTGATGTGACATGAGTTTCCAATCGCAAGACTGGACAGCAGTTCAGGAGGCAGCCAGCGCTGTCATGCCCTTGTACATACTCTTCTCCATGGGCCGGTGGCTAAGTCAGCTGACGGCGCCGTTTGCCACATCGCAGTGTTTGTAACTTGGCCTCGGAAGGTGCCATGGTTTTGCACTGGCTGCTCGTCATCAACCTGTCGGTCTTCGCGACCAAGCTTGCTGCATTCGTTCTTGTCCGTGGCTCAGGAATGTTTATGAGTATGCTGTCTCTGACTTGAAGCCGCTCCAAGTCTCCAAAGCCGTTCTGTTGCGCGGCCATGTGCATCACATTGGTTTCCCCAGGTGTGCCGCGAAGTGCTCTCCGAAGTGGGGAAGTTTATGGAACCTTTGCCGCATCAACCGCTTCTGTCTGCTTCAGCGAATGTTTGTGTTGCTTGGGCTGCTAGAGCTGCAGATGAAGCCAAGGTTGCCATCATTTTCATCCTGATCACCTTCAGCAGTGCAATTGCCACCTTGAGGCTACAAGTTCAATTCTTTGTTTGGCAGACCCAGCTCGGACTGCGAGAGAGTCAGGCATGAAGTGGCGGAGTTCAGGACGCTTCCGAAAGCAGCAGTGTTCTCAGCTGACGCTTGACTTGTCGAGTGTTGGCACTGCCGCTCCTTGCAGGCGAACTGTTTGTTTGCCACGACGGTTGGCATCTACGAGGGCGACTACAGGGAGATGATGCACCAACCTGCGCTTCTAGCGTTGGATCCCGAAATCTCGAGACGAGTTCTTCTGATGGAAAGTGCACGAGCTTGCAATAAGCTTGCAGCAGCCTCCTCAAAGGCCAGTCTTGTTGTTCATCACCGTGTCAGCCATCCTGCTGATCAACCTTTTGATCGCCTTTGCCTTAGTTCATCAACCGTTGCTTTGGGGCATCTGTGCGGGGCAATGCCGGCTGAGGCTCAGCTGAACTGTTCATACGACTACGTGTATGTCCTGGCCTCAGTCGGTGCGGCTGATGGCAGGTGAGAATCTATGTGAATGCAGCTGTAGGCAGTGCATAGCAGCAGTTCTCAAGGTAGGCAGAAGCTGACACTGCAGGGAGCTGTAGGGTGTCAGTAGGCATGTGAGCTACGTGGCAGTGGACGAAGAGCCTAATTAGTTTACAGTTGTATGACCACGGCACGATAGCTGACAGTCCAGGGTGGCAGGGCGCTTTTTCCTACCGTAGCCTCACTTTACCTTCTTCACTTCTTCACGCTGACGTGGACACCTGGCTGGCGCAGCTTCTGGTAACACCGGTTAGCGCCACTCAACAGCAGCTGCCGTGAGCGGAGATGCTACGTAGTTCCTGGCACTGGAAACGATTTCGCTTTTGTGAGTATTAATTTTGGGCATCGTGTTGATCCCATTGCGGGCAATCGCCTGACAGGGTGATATGCTGGGCTTCGCCCGCTTGGCACGGGCGTCTTTGATTGTTCGGCCCCTGAAAGCTGGATTTGGCAGTGCTGTGTCGCAACTCATGGATCGCGGTACTTAGGTCGATTCAATGGCAGCATGCCCTCCTGCGAGATTTTCCAGATTTGTTTGGCACCCAGTCTGGGTGAAAAGTCCGATGTTGAAAACAACTTACAACGACTATGACTATGGCTACAAACGACGACGAGTCACTACCACTACTCTGCTGCTGCTACTACTACTATTACTACTACTACTACTACAACTACTACTACAACAACAACAACTACTACTACTACTACTACTACTGCTACTGCTCCTGCTACTGCTACTGCGACTCCTACAACTACGACCACTACACCACTCCACCCCGACACCATTACACCGCGACACCACTACACCTCTACAGCACTACACCACTACTACTCCTCCTCCTACCAGTACTACTATTATATTCCTAGTGCTGCCGCTGCTGCTGCTGCTTTCGTTAGCGTAGCTTCTGCGACAGCCAATGTTATTGCAAACCGGGGGAGCTTCGAATTGTTTGACCAGGAGAATAGTCGAAAGAGCTTCATACTCATCAGCATCACATCGTCAGCAGGTGCATCCACATGCTCATCATCATCTCCCTGAAGCTGCTCATTTTCATTGTCATGTCTGCACGTCTTCGTCGTCAGAATCGTCGTCAGAATCCTCACCTCCACTTCGGAAACAAGGTTCCAAAACCAGGGTTGTCACCCGGATTGAATGTTTGCAAAGCCAGAGGAATGCCGGTGATTTTCGTGATCCGAGGGTGCAGACGTGACCAGTGTCAACACGATGGCTTGCGTGAGACATCGAGGGTCTGACAGTGACGACCGTCGCACCGATCCAGCGCCCGACGCGAAGGGCCGCCGGCCAACAAGAAGGCCGTTTCCGCAGCACGAAGAAATCTTTCGCCCATCTCGTTCATCCGGTACATGTCAAGGTACCATAAGACACCCTCCCAGGGCACTCCAGGATAAGACCTGACCACAGTCTTTCGGGGAATGGCTCTGCTTAGCAATTTTGTCGAAAAGGTTGCGGGCTTACGCTTCGATCAACTGCTGGAGTTTGACGAGGGCGATGTGTCGAGCTGAGTTGGCACACTGTGCAACACTTGGCCTAAGCTTCGAACTTGCGCTCTTTCGAAGGTGGGCTTGGGCGGAGGCATCCAGATTCGCTGCGCCCTGAGGTGATCCGAAGTGCATCCGTTTGGCACAGTATCAGCCACTGGCAAGGTGAGCCTGCGAACTTGAACCCGACATCAGATGATATCATTCTACGTTTTGGAGGCACAAGCCGGGATCTTACTCGGCGTGACAAAGGATTTTCTCAATTCGTGATGCTTGGCATTGTCCCAACTTGCTGCCATTCCGTCCCACGCGCTCTACACATCTTCAGGCTCCGTTTTCATGTCAGAGCAGCTGGAACGTTGCTTAATTTCTGAGATGCTTTGATACCGTGATTTGGACCAAGGCTCTCCTGACATGCAGTGGCCAGAAGAGGAGTTGGAAACCGATCGGTATGCAAGAATCGCCTGGTCACCTAGCCAGTCTCTGACGATGCATGCCCGCCGTTTAAAGCTTGTGATGAAGCTTGCGTAGAGACTGCGTCGTACAGTGCGTTGCTGACAGAAATTCTTGCTCGCACAGCTGAACAAAAAGCCGGAGAAGCACAGGACTCCGCGTGATTTTTTTGTCTTGCTGCAAAGAATCTCCTTCTCAAAGCCGTGGCTTGGGCAGGACTGGAGCAGGCCTCCCCTGCGCCCTGCACTTTTGTAGCTGGACGTTCAAATGCTGACTGTGTGTCATCCCGGATGCCAGATTCTGGAACCAGCGGCGGATTCACCGACAGCAGGCGGAGTTCGACCTGCAGAATGCTTGCGGTGTGCAGTCATAGCAACGCTGTGCCAAGTTGCACGTGAAGTCAGCTCTTTCGCTTCTTTCGGGCGTCGCTGGCTTCGTGAAACTCCACTGCATGCGTCTTTGCTGGAGGTCCCGCAGCCTGGTTTGTGTAACATCTGTGTCCTACCTTCCACTGTCACCGGTGTCACACCGCACCGAGACAGACTCGGCTTGGAACTCTGCTTCATGAATGGCACCACAAAGATGGTTTTCTTGTTTTGTATTGTAGAATTACTTGATTGCTCCAGCCTTCCTAGTCTGACTTGTATATCTTGTGACAGCCAGGCGATACATTCCGCCATTTGTGCTTCAATCCAAATGGGTGCAACAAGTTGTCGTTTAGCACGAGTTCAGTGCACAAGCTACGGCTCGTACTGCGCCTCGTCCCCAGCAAAACCGCCACCGCCGCTCCTGTTGCGACTCTTGCGACAGCGATTGCAACGGTGTAACGACGGGATGGCGAGGAGAGGTAGCAGGTAGCAGTGGTATTAATACTGTATTGGTGCCAGTATCAAAACAAGCAATCGCAGCAGCAGCAGCAGCAGCAGCAGCAGTTGCCGTTGCAGTTGCTGGAGTAGGAGTAGCAGTGGGTAGCAGGACTAGTAAGAGCAGTAGGAGTAGTTGGAGTAGTAGGAGTAGTAGTAGTAGTAGTAGTAGTAGTAGTAGTAGTAGGAGGAGGAGGAGGAGGAGGAGGAGGAGGGTGGGGGTAGGAGTAGGAGTAGGAGTAGGAGCAGGAGAGGGACGGGAGGAGGATGAGGAGTAGCAGGAGCAGCAGAAAAAAGGGAGCAGGCAGGAGCAGAAGCATATAGCAGTAGCAGTTTAGCAGTAGCAGTACAGATGTAGCAGGGTAGCAGTGCAGCGGTGTAGCAGTGTAGCAGTGGCAGTGGCTGTAGCATTAGCAATAGCTGTAGCAGTAGCAAGTACCAAGTAGCAGTGGTATCAGTAGTAGTAATAGTAGTTGTAGTAGTAGAAGTAGTAGCAGCAGTAGTAGCGGTAGTAGCGGTAGTAGCAGTAGTAGCATGCAGTAGTAGCAGTAGTCGTAGCAGCGGTTTGGGATAGCGAGCGCGCATGTGCACATCAGCATCCACTAGTGGCGTTGGTGGCTTAAGTGCTGTGGCCCTCTTTCACATCGCACTGCAGAAACTGCGATTTGGTCTTAGGATGTCATATTGAGATCATGATAGTAGCATCCATGCTGTGGGGCTAGAACCAGCCAAAACAGATTGAACCTAAGGCAACACGGCGGAGTCTTAGGGGAAAATTGGAAGCACTAAGGTAGATACGCCTTGGACCCCGTCCCGTAAGGATTCGTTAAAGTAATGTGTCAGAAATGCTTCTGAGAATCTGTCATTAAAACACCTTACTGGGGGGGGCTTTCGTTCGAAGCCCAGCGAATCGGCTCAAACGGCGGTGGGAGCATGTTTGGATGACAAGCGGGTCCTGTAATGCGGCCGGTCAGAGTTGAGAGTTGGGTGCTTCTTGAGCGGGCAGGGTGTGTCGACGTCAGGGCGCCTTGTGATGTTTACTTGCAGCACCTGGAGCATAGCATGCATGGCAACAGAGTATTTGCTGTTTCCGTATGCTGTCAATGTTCATGTGGTATACGATGGTGTGCCGTGCCTTGCTGTGGACTCTGTGGCAGTCATGATTGCGAGCAGTGTTTTGTCTTCTTTGGCTGACGAAGGCAAGATGCGGCTGCGGAGGAGTCGAGCGCAAGCTCTGCATAGGCACAGTCTAGCGTCGTATCGGTCGGTGATGTATGCTCGGTTACAAGCCCTCGAAAATCCTCACCGGAAGCAGTTGTTGCGGTATGTACCGAGAAAGGGCTTGCCAAAGCTCTACAGAATGGCAGCGCGTGCCTTCTCATCGCCCAGCAGTCTCACCACTTCCCGGACAGAGCACCTGAGTGCGAATCCTTCAAGAGGTGTCTCTCAGGCTCTGGCAAAACAGTGAACCGAATTCTGCATTGTCGAGACAACTGCACACAGCGCACGAGCCGGGAATGCCAGTGAAAGTGGTGTGTGGATGGCAGGTTGCGCAAGGGTCGCTTTCGCCTCCGTTCCGGACCCAAGGCGGCCTTTGACTGCTTTGACGGAGTCACGTCGAAGAGTCCTCAGCGGGAGAAGCCCAAAAGCCGTGAAACCGCAGGCAGACCGTCGCCGTCGCCGAGGCGCATGGATTTTCGTGGATGGCGCCTGGCAAGACTTCAAAGTGCGGCATACGGCAGAGTTCTCAGAGCCCATGGCCCATGGAGGCAGATGCAACAAGTCCGACATTCTCCGGAAACACTGGCTCCCGTCTCAGCAGGAGTTGTTGCGGCGATGACTTTCAATTCCCCTATGAACGCACGTCTGTGCCTAAATCGGATTTGGTTGTTTTATGCACTGGCCCAGGTGAGGTCGGCCCCGGGGAAGCTGAAGAGGCAGGTGTTCAGATTCCTACGGGCTTGAAGTTCTTTGCTGGCTGCGGCGACTTTTCGCCCCTTGGAACTTCCGAGTTGTCGATGTTGCTGTGGGCTGTCGTGGCGTTTTCGTTGTATTCTTCCCTGTCAGTGCTCACACAATTCAAGCAGGCCATCCTGACAGTTCGTCGTGCAACCAACTCTACAAGTACTGTTCGACCTACTTCCTGTAACGTTGTTTTTCTTCTTGTTCCCCCGAAATGTGGTGTCGCCACCGAGTTCTGATTCCCCAAACAGTGTGGCAACATCTACTTGTGTCTTGCGTTCAGAGTGAGTCAACATGGATTGTGTCACTTCCCGTGAGCACGCGGTCGGCGCCGTCTGTGGACGCCGAGTTCATGCTAACATCATGTCACATCGAACACTTGCATCGTTGACTTGATGATTTGTGCTCACGCTGTACTCCTGTGCCCTTAGCGGCAATTGAACGGCAATTGTGCTCGTGTGACTTGCCTTCGCGTGGCCCGTAATGGCGTAAGCCCAAGCGAGACGACGTGATTCGCCTCCTTGAGGCTCCGAGGGGGCGGTCTCGAAGGTTCGAAGTTCAAGGAAATTGAGGTTAGCCGAAAAGCCGTGCAAACCCAAATGCCCTCACCCCCGAACCCACGAATTAAGCCGCAGGGCTTGTGCACTATTGCCACTGGAGGTGCTCTACCACCTTTAACACCTTATGAGGTTGTTGGAGTGGCGAAAAAAGTAAACAGTAAATCGTATCATGCTTGCACGACGCTCTGGGAGAGGATTTATCACAGGCTCCGTTCTGAGTCCCCACTGGTGCAGGATGTTCTGCTACGAGTGCCACTCGACTTGGAAGTGCAGGACGCTCAGCCTTGCCACGTGATGCCTTTTGCCTGTCTACTGCCGGAGTTCCAACGACTGCACAATGCTTGTGGGTGAGCGGGGTGTTGCGCTACGTGGTACAGATGGAATGTCATAAGTTCATGGTTGATTGCAAGCAGCTACAGAAAACGGAGGCCCCCGTAGCAAACTCAGCAATCGTGGGGCTTGATGATGCTGTTGATGATGCTGAAGTTGCCTCGGTTCATTTAAGGCAGAAGAAGGAAGGGTTGGGCAGTTGCAAGGCCGAGCGACGTGACCTTGCGAACCCTCCAACACCTTCTCTCCCAGCAGCTGGAGGAGGCAAGACAAGCTTGACATGACTAGTAACCGAGATGGCGCAACATCATTGACTGAGGCAGGATTACAAGCCCTTCGTCCTCCCTCTGCTCGAAGCCAAGAATCTATGCGTCGGAGTTGGATGCCATGGATGCCGTGCGGAGCCCATGCCGTTTAGAGGCGTTGTTTCTCGCACTGAACGGCCACCTTTGCGTCGACCCCAAAGTCCCAGCCTTGGCGCAAGAAGGCCTCAGCGGGCGTACCTCAGCACTGCCTGGCAGCCCAGGCACAGCCCTTGCGGAATCTGGTCCCTGGATCTGTGGTCTCCCTCGTCGAGGATGGCATTCTTGGGTTTTACTTCTCGTCAGATTGTCCTTCATCATCCAGAGAGTTTCTGCTGGAACTGGGGCCAATCGTGCTCTTGTGCCCTGGTGTGAGATGCGGATCCGGGGAGTCCGGATTACCATCACTCACGCCTTCTTGCATGTTTTGTTTTTCTGTCTCTTTCGTCATGTTGTGCATCGTGAGTGCATCGTGAGTGCATCGCGTCCGTGCATCGCGTCTTCGCAGGACCTGGGAGAGGCGCAAGAGGCCGATGATGTTAAAAGTGAAGCGCTTGCGGATACATGGGCGCTGTGGGATCGTTCGAACTGCTGCCTGCTTGTGCATTCTGTGCGAACCTTCATTGCCTGTCTCTCCACGAAAGCGAGGCGAGTTCCTGGTATTGAGCGCATGTACAAAGCGAAGCTGTAGACCTTCAAACGAGATCGTAGGGAGCCGAAGCGGAGAATTTGGAGAGGAGACGAAACGAATCGAAACGACTGGTACTGGCACTCTTTCATAGGACTCGACGTGACGGCAGTTGTCGTCCGTAAGACGTGTGACCTGACTGGCGCGGAAACGGGCAGTCAGAACTTCGTAGCAAAAACCAAACCCAGACTTGAATCGTGGTGTCCGAGAAACCTCTAGGAGCAGTGCCAGCAACATCTTGAGATGGCGAAGATGTGCGGTTAGTGGTGTCTTTCAGAGCATAGCATTCGGCGGTCCTTGAAACGATTCAGATGTGACTACTTCCTGCCAACATAGGCCAACAAGAATTGAAGTGATGTCGACAGCATCTCACCTCAGGTGGCCCGGCTGGGCTTGTGCTTGAATGCCGTCCAGCTACTGCAGGTTGGGATAGGAGCCATGCGACCGAGAATTTGGAAACGCTTGGCGTGGAGGTTCAATACCCTACATTTGCACCGCCCGGCCAACAAGGCTTTGCTGGCTGGTTCCTGAGACCCTGGCATGATGCTCCACGGCCTTCAGGTCATCAGAGGAAGATGCCAGAGGAGGCATGCTTTGTACCACAGCTACGAGACTTGCACGTTTGAAAACAACGTACAAGATAAATCACACATTTCTGTCAAAGATGCTACAGTGCGGCAGGTCTTGCGAGAAAAGAGGCAGCGCCTCTACAAGACGCAGCCGTGTGCGAATTATGCAGCGGAGCCTCTGCGGCAAACTGCTCACAAGCTGCCCTAGCTTGTGCTGACGGTGTTTCGTGCACAACGCTGCAGGGACATTGCACTTTTGGCCGCAAGTGCCACTTCGCACATGGAGAACATGAGCTGCGTCTTCCTGGCAAAGTTGAAGGCCAATAAACTGAGACAAGCCCTTTGCCGAAGCCACATGGTTGACCCTTATTCGATCTCGTGTTTTGAAGGCAGCCCTAGCACATCGATCTCCAGCTGGAATAAAGAAAAAAGCGACGGATCCTGGCAAGAGAGGTGCACTCCGGCTGTGGTAGACTTGAAGCTCACCTGAGCTGCCGTAGCTCCGTGCCAGCAGCCCTGAGGAGCCAATGGCCAGAGGAGTCCAGGAAGTGGGGAGACGCTGCCGCTGGCGGCGCCAGCGGGTGGAGGAGACGCTGCGGAGTTGATAAGTGCTTGCCAGTGCCAGTACATGTGTTGGAAGCAGGCGGAGTGAGCAGGACTGGCAGCAGGCATCGCGCTGTGCTTGCTTTCGCAGATATTTCGGTCATCGCAGCCTCCGGCAGAAGTTTTGGCGCTTGCTTCGGGGCGCAGGACTGGCAAGATCGAACCGAAAGCGATTGGTCTTGGTCCGTTCGCTCCTGAGAGCATGTAGCCGCGTTCCGATTTTGTCCTTCAGCGTCTAAGTTGCCAGGCAAATGGCTGGGACTGGTGCAGCTCGGAGGCTGCACCCGAAGCTTTTTGATGTCTGAGATTGTCTGAGTCTCTGCATCATTTCAAGTTTAAGGTTTCCTTGACCCGTAAGGAGATGTGATCTGCACCTGAAACTTCCGTGTTCTTCGCGTGTGTTCTTTCGTGTCGATTTGGTCATTCAGGCGAGAGACTGGTGGGAAGGCAGGCGTTCGTCCTTGTGAAGTAGGGCTGGGAGTTACAAATAGGCTCTTTTTCATGCTTGACCCCGAGATACCAGCTGGCGACGGTCGGACTGGCAAGATTGTCAAGATGGCCAGTGGGAGCGCGACGCTGATGCCATGGCGGCTGGAAGCGATTCTGGCACTGTCAGAAATGTGGGGCAGGTTTCTTGGCGAGAACCGAAGGGGTTTGTGCAGATCATGTGCAAGGAAGACCAGACCGTGACTGCAGGTCGACGGTGGTAAGACAGATGCTCCGCGGGCTGCTCAGTCGTCGCTTTGACTCCCTCCCGGAATGGTATTTTTGGAGGTGTATTCAGCGGACCGACGGAAGCGAGGCAGTCCGCGTGCAGTCCATGTCATTCTGCACAAGTGATGGGCCTGTTTCAGGAATCTCGAAGCGATGTGGTCCATCAACTTCAAAGACAAACTGGAGACTTGCGAGGAGCCACCCTGCCACGTCTTTTGTTCGGTGGTGTCCCGCAGAGCAGGCCGTGAACGCCACGACAAGTCTGACCGGAACCAAGTCCAAGAATTTGGCCGAGGCGCGCCATCTGTATTTCCCATGCTACTGCTTGGTGTTGAATGCTGTAGGTGGTGCTCGAAGCTTGTCCAGGGAAAGGCAAGGGCTTGTACTGGTGCGGAGCCCGTTCCGTTCAACAAAAAACCGGGGAAATGGCAGGGATCGACGCCGGCGTGGCAGGCGGACAGTACTGGTCAGAGCTGAGCTCAGCCGAGCGTGGCACAGAGTGTCAGAATTCGGGCTCGGGCAGGTCTCCCTCTCCAAGACGTCTGCGCCCTCAGCAGGCGATCCCCCGCCAGAGCTTGGGATGCTTCGTGCTTGGCCTCGAAAGCTCTGCTGCAGGCTCGATCGCTCCGATCCCGGAGCCGGAGCCGTGGCCGGAGCCGCGGGCGGAGCCGCGGGCGGAGCCGCCGGCAGCGACGGAGCCGAGACCGGAGGCCCCGTTAGAGAGCCGGAAAGGAAAAGAAAAGTGAAAGTCCGATGGTCGCCCGTGCATTTGACGACCGCGACTACACACCATTTCTCTTTCAACGCGAGCTTTGACTGTGGCCTGCAACTCTCCAGCTTTGGGTTTCTTCGAGTTCGCATGTTTCGACACAAGACTGAGCATCGTGTGCCCGTTTTTGTTGCGGGAGGATTGCTGTCAGAGATCAGCTTGGAGGATGTACTCGTAAACCAAGGCAGCCTCACATTCTAGATTCTAGTCAGCTCCAGCATCACATGTGAACACAGGCTTAAACTGGAGCTCAGCACGTCAAAGCAATGGGGTCAAGCAGCTCTGCTGCCAAGCAAGAAACGCTGGCACCAAAGTACCTGTCTGCACAGAGAGTACTTAATGCCTTGATGTTCGTTGTCCTGTACTGTTCAGTTTCATGCCCGTGCGGTCGCAGTAGTGCAGTATGCTGGTAGTGTGCATCTGAGGCCTGCTCAGCTGTCACTCCCCATCCAGAACAGGCGGACGCGTGCCGTTACGCTAAGTGTAGAGCCTCGAGAAGCGGTGGTCGAAGTGGGCACCGGCGCTAGCGGTGCTGGTGTGTGCTTACCCATCAAAAATCGCCGCACTCGTGGGGTAATCTTGGAGACGGCGGAGTTCAATCCAGACAGATTGGTTCCACCAAGTTTGAATGTTGGTAGGGGCCAAGATGCTTCTGGAGGAGACATGACGCGACGGGCCGTTCACAACCCTGTTGGACAGTCTTTTGCCACTGACTCGCCCACTGCGCTGGTTCCTAGACTGCCAAGTTCGCCAGCAGCGACTTCATCTGCAAGAACGTCTTCCGTTCCGGCTTCGCCGTCGGTAATGTCGCGCAACTCGAGAGTGCACTTTGCCGCATCACCGGCGTCTGTGGTAGAAATCACTCCATACAGTTGGACATCGCGTTCCTCGGCTTGTTCCCCGACTTCGCCGACGTTCGATGGGTCACCAACGCGGCCAGCGACGGCGCTTAGCATCCCACAGCCGGCTTCAGGTGCATCGAAGATAAACAAAGCAATCCCTCGTTTCTGTGGTTTCAGCACTGTGTCTCCTTGCTTGAAGTCCTCTCAAAATTCTTAATACCGCCTTGGTGATGGCAGTGCGGAGCTTGAATCACTGGGCAACATCTCTAGCAGTAGAACGGGAGCTTCGCTCAGGGGACGGCAATACCGAGTAGGATCTTCATGGGACGTGCAGGAGATGGGACACGGAGGGGTATGGAGGGGGGCAAGAGTTATCTACGAAGGGAAAGCAGGCCGTAGAGGCCGCACGAGGATGCTACGAAAGTTTCCGACTCGACTAAAGGGCAGTCCAACATACTCATCACTGTCGAAGTGCGGCAGGCCTTTATGCTAGCGGAAGCTTGCAGCACACTGTGGTCATTCCTGCGGTGCAGTACGTGCAGCACTATGCCTGGACGGCACCGTCAGCAGCGGCTCCTGCAATTCCAGTTGTGTCTGCACCATCGCTGCCGCTGGCTGGTGCTCCTGTGGCAAATGTGGCACCCGCAACTGTTGCAGTGTCCTTGCCGAAGTCGATTGCGCCAACAGCAGCAGCATCCACACGGAAGCAGGTAACGTTTTCGTCGGATGCTGTTCGTGTTTGGCTTTTACAGTAGGTCTGCACGCTGCTTGTAGTACTTATAGGCACATACAGTAATGGTCTAGAGTCTTGAGCATCATGTGTGCTGCCGAGGCCACGTGGCGCCAGTGAGGGCAGGGTGGATTCACAATCGAGTCTGCTCGCATCAACAGATGCATCTGGCTGCTCGCAGATGTGTTGTCATCGATCTCTGATGCTATTTCCAGGAAACTCACGCTGGCATGTACGTAGCCATTCCAGTGTGTGCAGGAGATGTCTCACCCTTACTAACAGTATTTCAGTGATCTGCGATGTGGATTCACATTTTGCTTCTTTGGGCCCGAAGGGATCCCCGAGGGATCTCGGCGTGTCACCTCGAGGCAAGCCGCTGCACCAGCGTCCAGAATCTCGCAAAAGTGCTCAGATCACCTCAGGCCCAGGCCCCCTGGCCCCCTGGCCCCCTGCTCCCGCCCGAGCCTCATGGACATCTTCTCTTGCCCTGGACTTGAAGTTATCCTTGTGGACTGGTCATGAGTTGTGGGTACACGGAAGATCGCGGGGTAGGATGGGCTACATTTGGAGTGGAAGGCCTTGGCGAATATCTTATCCCGGCGTTGAAAATTTGAGAAGCCCTGCAACAAGTCCCCACAGAAGGAAAGCTGCCGCGACTGTTGCTCAAAAGACCACACGGAGGTAGTGTGTGCGCCACATGCGCACAGGAAATCCTAACATGGAGTTCTACGGACAGGGTGCTGCCTATGTTGGCCAGGGGCGCATGCAAGCGATGCCGCAGCAGGCTTGATTCAGAGCAGCTTAGTGGCGCGGAAGTGGACCAGTATGCTTCAGGTCCAAGCGCAGCTCGCTGCCCAGCAACAGCCACCAAATGACGAGGAAGTCGCCAGACTGGTGCAGGACATCAAATCAACAGAAGCAAGTTTCAGTAGATGATGACATGGGTGTGGGTGTGTGGATTAGTCTGAAATCATGGGTGTGCACGACCTCCCCACTGCTCGAAGCCCAATCCCAAGCCCAACGTAGACAGAAAACAAGGCTCAACCCCGAGTTGCAAACCTGGAGTCTCAATTAAGCATGTCGCTCTCGCAGATGCTGTTTGTGCGTCAGGTTAGGAGAGCCTCAGCCGGTGTAAGACGTTTTGATAACACGTCGTGGCTGAATTCGTAAGGGGCTTGCTTACTTGACGGTGTCACACGTGACAAAGACCACTCCATGGCAAAGTGTGTAGCCGCGAAGCCACAGCTGAGGAGTGGAGCAGAAGTCGGGGTTGAGTTGTGGTCTTCTTTGCACCTTAGACCTGCTTCTGATCCTGACCCGATTGTCTGCATTGTCGCTTGGTGCTGCTTGAAGCTTTGCAGCTGCCGAATCCCTTCCATGCCACTCTCTACGCAGGCGAACAGGGGTCTTCACGGTGAAGCCACACGTGGTTTCTCCAAAGTCCAAACTCTGCCAGGACCTACAGAAAGGCGATGAGCGCGAGACCGCCTTGCTGGAGTTGTCCAAGCGCAGGGAATCTCTGCAAGATCTTGCGCGTGGGCCCCGTCTTGATAGCACGGTCCTTCCGTCTGTAGTGCTAAGTCAATCTCTCAGGCCAATCCTGTGGCATTCGTTCGGCACAATCGTTGCACTCATACAGGACAATCAATCGACTGAATCCGCGCTCGGCAGCAATGCGCAAGACGAATCAGTCCATTTGTTCCATCTCGGACGCTTGAACTCATGCAGGAAATAGTGCAAATCTACCCGCAGCTGGCGCAACCTCCCACATTGACGGCAACAGCATCAAACCGCGTCTGCAACTCGCTGGCCTTGTTGCAATGTGCAGAGCCCTCAGATGGTGTTGTCACTGTGACCGGAGAATCTGTGGCCATGTGCAGCGATGTGTGCTTATAATTCTGCTGGTGAGTCTGAGGTGGCATCCCATCCAGAGACTCGCCCCTTGTTTCTGAAGGCGCAGCATGGTGTGGTTCGTGACTAGAAGTTCAGACATCGCCGATAAGAGCTGCGTGTACATCATCATCATCATCATCATCCGAACTCTAAGACGACGCCACGCAAAATAGATGCAAGGCCTCGCACGTCAACTGCCTTCTGTTTGTGTCTGGTTGCAGGCGCAGATTCCTCTGCTGCTGTACCCGTTCCTGAACACGTCTAGCGCAGTGGCCCTGCGGCATGTGCTCGAAAGCAACAACTGCAAGAGCGCTGCCAACCACAGGAGAGGCCATTCGAATACCTTCGACTAACTTCTCTCGGGGTTATCGGAGCTTTGGTGAAGGCGCAAACCCCAGACAAGAGACAAGTTGAATTTGCTTCGATCCTGCGGCCGTCATGTTGGCTACCATCATGGTGGCTAGAAGCCCTCCAAACCGAGGTTGACGATCAAGATGTCATTGTCTTCCTGCTCAACACTGAGATCATTCCGCTTTGTCGGCCTCTCAGAAGCTGACCCACAGCCTGCAAATTCCTGCAATTCCACATGCCATTGCTTGGTTGGGCTGTCTGTGCAGGTCTGAGGATAATGGAAAGCGGCAGCGAACTTTCCAAAACAGCAGCGCACCCTGTTTGGCAAAATACCAGCCGCCATCGATCGACCGAAAGCAAGGTTGCGACATTTATCGTGCAGAAACTTCTGCTGGATGAGTCAGCCGGGAGCCTGACTTATCGCCGCCTCTGTACAGCCTTGTTCTGCGCACATCATGTTCGCAACTGGGCAGTGTTGGCACACACAGTAATTCAGTAGCGTTCAAGCAAATCTGAGAAACATGTTCATATTATTCATATTCTTCAATGCGCATCCCATGTATTTTCTCAGTGGTTTGATGCCAATGGGCATCTGTTTCTCATCGACAAGTCTCGTTTCGGATCGCTGAGATCCATGATCAAGCAGGCTTTTGCTGATGCGTTTGTCGATTGCATCAAGATCTCTTCTTTGGTGACAGGGCAGTTTGTGTCAGGTTCTTTACAACATAGCTTCGACGTTGTGAGTATGGGCGGGAATCTGTCCCGATGGCATGACGGCAAGAAAATGAAGGCTTTCCATTTGTGGCCAAGGGCCTGTACTACGTCTGCGACTCCGCACATCGTTTCTATGCAGTGAACGACTCAGCAGCGCCTGCTCGCGGGACTTTGCACAACTGGACCTGTCTTCTTTCGGGCCGGGAGAAGACGAGGTGGCAAATGTGCTCTCCAAGATGGTGCCTCACCCAAGACGTTGGAATGTCTGCTTTTGACACTGGCATGTGCGCTTGGATCGAGGTGGGTGTTCTAGTGCAGAGCCCGTCGATCCGGTTGCTTAAGGCCAAATCCAGTACTCGCCTTGCCACTCTGCGAATCCGATGCAACCTGTGCAGCACGTGGTTCGGTGCTACCTTCGCCTCACTGAAGATCCTCGAGCCAGGGAGGTGTTTGCCCAGCCCTGCATTTGCTTTGTCTTGTGTCATGCAGCTTCGACGACAACTTGTTTGGTTGGATCGGTGCCTGATATTGAATGCAGCACACAAAGAGCTCTGTCACCTTCACCGTCAGCAGCAGCGGCATCAGTAGCAACAACATCGAATTACAACATCGAAGTAGTACTACTACGACACCAACGACAACTACTGCTGTTATCACCACTACAGCCACGAATACTTCGACTACTGCTTCTGCTGCTGCTACTACTGCTGCTGCTGCTGCTACTGCTACTACGACGACGACTACGACGACGACGACTACTACCACCAGCACCAGCACCAGCACCAGCACCAGCACCAGCACCAGCACCAGCACCAGCACCAGCACCAGCACCAGCACCAGCACCAGCACCAGCACCAGCACCATCACCAGCACCAGCACCAGCACCAGCACCAGCACCAGCACCAGCACCAGCACCAGCACCAGCACCAGCACCAGCACCAGCACCAGCACCAGCACCAGCACCAGCACCAGCACCAGCACCAGCACCAGCACCAGCACCAGCACCAGCACCAGCACCAGCACCAGCACCAGCACCAGCACCAGCACCAGCACCAGCACCAGCACCAGCACCAGCACCAGCACAGCACCAGCACCAGCACCAGCACCAGCACCAGCACCAGCACCAGCACCAGCACCAGCACCAGCACCAGCACCAGCACCAGCACCAGCACCAGCACCAGCACCAGCACCAGCACCAGCACTAGCACCAGCAGCAGCACCAGCAGCAGCACCAGCAGCAGCACCAGCAGCAGCACCAGCAGCAGCACCAGCAGCAGCACCAGCAGCAGCAGCAGCAGCACCAGCAGCACCAGCACCAGCACCAGCAGCAGCAGCACCACCACCACCACCACGATCACTGCCATCACCCCGTCACCGATATCGCTGCCATCAACACCATGGACCACCGGCACCATTACCCCCATCACCAACATCACCCTCGTCGACCATCCCCGCCATCACATCCATCACCATAACCACCAACAGCGACGACAACGACGACGAAGACAAGGACAGGCACAGGCACAAGGACAAGCACGACGACAACCGCTGCGACCCCTACCACGACGACGACAACGGCGGCAGCGACAGCGACAGCGATAGCCAGAACAAGAGCAAAAGAGCAGCAGCAACGCCAATGACCAAAACCAAGACCAGCAGCAACAACGTCAGCCTCGTCACCAACAGCGACGGTGACAACACCGGGAACAACTGCTACCACTAGTGTCGCACTGGGCCTCGGTTACATGTTACATGTACATATGCATATGCAGATAAATATACATATAGACAGATAGATAGTAGATAGGTAGACATGATATATATATATGTATATATATATGTATATATACACACATGTATATGTATGTATGTATGTATACATATATATATATATATGTATATACAGTGCTAACCTTTTCGGGCAGCATCTGGGAAAATCGGGCAACCACGGGTCGGGAATAGAGCAGAGTTTTTTCAAGCAGATTCGGGGGCAATTTCTAGACACTATCCCCGCAGTTTTCAGGTAACACCTACAGCAAAAGGTCGGGAACGGTAGAGGGGGAGGGGACTACAGTACAAACGTATGTGCATTTACATGGCGTGTTAAAATGCATAGCGATATCTGTCCTCGTTCCTGTGTCACTGGATGATATTTACCTGTG